TGTTCCAACATTGTTTTGGGGAGGTTTTGGTTATATAAGCTAATTGCACAGGAGTTCTATCCTATTTTGCCTGGATTTTCCATTGCATTTATCTTTAAATGTTTTATTTTATTAATTGAATTTATCAAATTGTCTCTTTCTCTTTTGCTGCAACTTAGTTCCTCCTTCCAGATTTTATATTGTATAGTTTTCCCGTAATTATTTTGTAAATGTATCCCATTATTCTTTTCTCCTTCTCTACTTTCCATTTTATTATTTTATCGAGATCTGTTTCTGGGATTTCCTTACTCTTCCATTCTGTTAACTTTTTAGATAACCCTCTCCATAATAGCCAATTTCAAATCCTAAACTAAAAGTTAAAGTTTATCTGTACCTCTTTACAGGGGGAACAATAAAAAGGAAGAACACATAACGAGAAATTGGGCTTTTATTAAATCTAATTTAAAGTTGCTGATATTAATGATATACTTGAATTTTTCACAGTACAAGCTGCAATTGATGTTATTTCTAATATCACTGGCCAAACCATTGACTGAACAATAACATGAATGAATGCAAGAACCAACATATGAAAACAAATGGGAGGAAGGACCAGATAAATCACTAATAGGTAAAATATATTTTCAATGGTGACTCCAAGTCATTTTATGCTTCCAAAAAACTGAAGTAGCCTAAAGAAACTTCAAAGCTTTTGTAAAACACTAGCTGTGGTTTTTCTAACCTTTTATTTCAAGAAACATATTGCAAAAATAACTGCAATAAATAATGGCACTGTTATTTCAAAATATCCATATCAATAGTTATACTTTGATTCCAATATTTTGAAAACATGTTAAACTTGAATTATTTACCTCAATGCTGATCTGATGTTTCTCTAAATCTTACAATGATACAATGTTCTGGTACTGTTGTAAACATGATTAAAATACCACAAGAGTTAGCTGGGTTTCTTATTCAGGTCACAACTCTTTTATATTCTTCCATGCAGTTTCTCTCAAATCCAATACACACCTGCAACGCCACTGAAATACTATTACGTTGAAAATGAGTTTAAAGTTAACCATGGTCATGTTTAAGCTAGTTTAAGCTCCTTTCAAATACTGGTATGAAGCTAAATTTACCTACTGTGTTGACCCTAGTTCAATTGTATTTGCTAAACATAATTAACAACAATAAAGGAAAGGAAGAATTTAAGGTAGGAAAGAAAAGGAGTCCATGAAACCAAGAGAAGAGGGAGGAGAGAAGCTCGGAAGATGTTCCCAGCATCTTGATCACAGTTTGCTTTTGGTTTTTTTGTGATCATAGTTAAAGAAACAGAAAACATCAGGAATTGAATCCACTGTAGTCACGTCAGAACAACACTCACTGTTGACAAGCAGGGTTACTTCTCAATCACTGGTGAATTAAACATTTTAGTTGTTTGTTTGATTCATATCCCCCTTTTCTATCAATATGGAATCCATGTTGAAGGAGAACAGACAAAAGTGTTCATATAAAAATTCAGACATAACAGATTGTGAGAATGCTCCTAGTCAATGTAAGGTTTAAACAAAACCACAAACATTTCACTCACAACACATAGCCACTTAATTATATACACACATATACACACACAAACTACCATAAATTCCAATATTATACGTCTAATGATTTAACATCAGTATTTTAAATAACAGTGCCCAACACACTTTATGGTACCTCAAATTTTAGTCTTATTCTGGATATATTTGATCTGCTGATTTTAAATATGATGCCATTTTTTCCTATCAGCTCTAGTTTTTGAGATTCAGAACATATGCCATCTATCAGTTGCTATCTGCGGATCCATAAAAAAATCATTATAACCATGGGCCCTTCCAGACAGGCCCTATATCGCAGGATCTGATCCCAGGCTTTCTGCTTTGAACTGGATTATATGAGTCCGCACTGCCGCATAATCTGGGATAAAAAGAAAACCTGGGATCACATTCTGGGATATGGGGCCTGTGTGGAAGAGCCCCGTTTCTAAGAAACTAGAGCTCATGTGGTCTAGTCAATGCTATTTTCTGAATCAGCACCCCAAATAATCCCAGGTTTAAAATCCAAAACACCGATAATTTTTTGTCGTTGTTGTATTGTGCAATATTATGACCACTCATCATGAAGAACAACTCCATTATAAGACAGTTTTCTCATGGCCTTATTCCACGGCTGGACACATGGGCCACAACGGGATCCCAAAACTCTTTTCATCCCCTCTAGAGCACCCTTTTTCTACCCATCAAAGGAGTTCATTCCTCCCCTGAAAGCCTCCAGGAAGGCGAATTCCTCTTTTAAACAAGTTGCAGCAGACCCTTCAATGCTGTACATTAAAGATGCCTCCTTTTTTTTCAAAACCGGAAATGGCAATCTGGTCCCTTCGGTTTGGTTTTGAGTTTATTTTTTTGACATCTCTAACACGCCACACAACTCCTGGAAAGTGTCTAAGGGTTCCCAGACATGCTGCCATGGCCTACCCCTGTCCTATTCCATAAACAATTGCTTCTACTAAACAGAGCTGTTCTGCTGTGCGGATTGAGAGCTACATTAATCTACTATTATTCAATAATACGGACAAAAAACAAATGCAGTCGACTGTACCTGGTTCTCGTTACATTCATAAGGAGCATCCTTGTGTATGGACATCTGATATTTGGTAAACAGAGCAGCAGACTGGGTGAAAGATGATTTGAACTCTGGGTCCTCAAAAGAAACTGGTACTAACCTCACCTTCAGAGTGAGGAAAAACAAAGATATTTTGTCTGAATTTATCCAAATGCTCCTGAAGGTAAGGCTAGGCTATTATCTCCTCCAGTCCATTTCAAAGCCTTGCCAGGAAGATGCACCAGGAAGGTGAATGACACATATAATGCTTTTATGTTGTGGCAATTTTGTATGTACTACACTAGTTCTCCTTTCCATAGATACCATATGTACATTATCTGAAACTGTTACAGTTAGTGCCACAGTGCAATGTGGCCACTCAATACTTTTATGCAAAATATGTAAGGGTCATCAAAATTCAAAAAGAAAAAAAAAGGATTTGACTGTTTCTTGGAGGTTATACTTAAGGTTTTCACAACTATGTTCATAGGAACTCCATGGTTTTTCAATGAAATCAATACTGGAAAATAGGGTTCCTGGGGGAAAAAGCTTATCTATTTTTACCGTTATTTAACTGCAGCATGTAGATGGATGATTGCTTAGTTCAGGCAAGGCAACAGTGTTTATCCTCACTCTATATGGCTCAATTATTTTTGATAAATGACAGAACTTGCATAAATAAGTTACCTGATATCAGCAAAAACTTTAATATCCATCGCCAGGGCCATTTTTTTAAAGCTATTAGTGGCTCTTGACTACCCGGCTTTGATCATTCCCTGTGCCTGGGGAATTCTGGTCAAAATAAAAGCCACTGTTGAATGCAGCAAAATGGGTTTATCCATAAAGTATGACACATTTTGGAAACTATTTTTAATTCCACAGCATCTTCCACAAACTGCTGCTCTCACAGACCGCAACTATTGCACATATTGAATTATGCCAAGCATTTATTTTCACTGCCTATAATTTTGAATAATGATTTATTCAGCTAATACTTATTTTAAAAGTCAAGCCTTTCCATTCTTCAACACCCTAAAATGATGAGGGCAGGTCTTTAAAACAGCTGGTTAATCACCAGCAGCAACAGATCACACCAATCGAAAGGTTGACAGTTCCAAGTTGGGGTGAGCACCCAACCTTCAGCCCAGCTTACTGTCCACCTAAGCAGTTTGAAAACAGCTGTGAGCTGTGACTAGAGAAATTAGGCACCACTTAAGTGGGGAGGTATTTTACGCATCATAAAAAAGGAAATATCAGAAAATATTGGTGATCAAAGGAAGGAAGAGGTCTGTGTTCAAGGGCTTTTCTTCATAGAGGATGGAACGACACCACCCCCCTGTGGCCAGAATTGAGCACAACCTTCAGGACGCTGAAATTGGGAAAATGCCAACATATGCCTCTATCTGTTGTCTGTCCTGTCTGTTTTAATGGCACTGAATGTTTGCCATGTATGTGTTGTGTGATCTGCCCTAAGTCCCCTTCATTGTGAGAAGTGTGGAATGTAAATGCTGTAAATAAATAAATATTTAAGACACACATACAAATATATATGTGGTTCTACTGGTGAATATAGGTGTTTTGCTATTGGGTACAAACAGGACAAAACTTAAAAACTGTCAAGTTAGAAGAAAAACTTGAAAGCCTGTGATAAAGAAGTAGAGGATGCCAGGGGGCACAATAACCAATTATAATACTGGTAATTGCAACTTGAAGCCTTTTGGAGCAAACAGTGGGTACTGGCAACTACCTCTTGCCTCAAACTACGCACAATTTCAAATACTTGTACAAAACTTCGCAAAAGCAAATGTGTAGTTAGGAGAATCTTAAGAACAAGACAGCAACTATAGAAGGGATTGTAGACAGAGGAAAGAAAGTGAGTTAAGATAGAGAAGAACAGATAAAGACAAAAGTTAACCTTAAAAAATTAGGATTTGTGCTCCAATACCATTAATGTGAATTGGCCTATCCTTTTTCAAATGTGTGACATACTTTATGGATAGGTTCTTAAGCCCAAACTCAAACAAGGGGAACTTTCCCAATGGTAGGAATTCTTTATTTCCATAAATATTTATGGGACACACAGTTCCCAGTAGAACTGCCCATTCTTGAAGAATAAACACAGATTTCAAAAAATCTAGACATCTTACTGGTTGGGAAATCTACAGTGTACTTCAACTGTGCTGCTTAACAAATGTTTTCAGCATTACTATTTTCTTTTTATATATTTAATTATTTATGGCACTCATGAACTCTACAAAGCCAACTTGTATTCCCATGATGTTCACTTTGTCTGCATTTATATTATTTATGACGTTTCAAGGGGAGTTAAGTATCTTATTTAAAAACTCAGAATAGACCAAAGCAACATGCTGTCTGACCTGACTGGTCGTTGGTTTATCAGGAGGATCCTTGTGAATAACCATCTGGTAACGTTTATAGACCTGGTAAGATTCCTGAAAGGTGGCTTTGAACTGGGAACATGGTGGAGATGATTGCACCAGCCTCACCTTCCAAAGAATTAAACATATTAATTATTACAATATTAGTCACAGCAGAATTAGAGGTGTCAGAACTGTTCAAAATGAATTATGCCATCAGCTCATAACAATTGTTCCCTGTTATTTTAGCTGAAAATAATGTCGTTAATGTTGCTTTCTTCTCCACTTTGTTAATACAGTTGGCCCTCCAGATTCGCAAGTTTCATATTGGTGGTTTTGATTATTCTCAAGCTTGTGCCACTGCGTTGGGGCTACCACGTGAACAGCAGCCGCATTCACAAGAGGTGGGGGAGGCGAGGAGTCACCACCCTAGCTCCTGAAGATGGGACTACCATTTGGATATGAATACAGCAGCTCCATCTTCAAGGAGGAGGGAGCAGGCTTGTTTTCTGCTGCCCTGGAGACCAGCACTCAAACCAATGGGTCCAAATTACAGTAAAGGAAGTTCCATCTAAACATTAGGAAGAACATCTTGACTGTAAGAGCTATTCAGCAGTGGAACTCTCTGCTTTGGAATGTGGTGGAAGCTCCTTCCTTGGAGGCTTTTCAACAGAAGCTGTAAGGAGTACTTTGTGCTTTTCCTGCATGACAGGGGGTTGGACTAGATGGCTCATGTGTTCTCTCTCAACCATTCTTCTAAGTGATGAGCAATGGGGAGTCATGAATCCCTGTACCATACCCAGTTCCCAAAGACAGGGCTACTCTGTGAACACATGGATGCCCTATCTCCGGAGAGGTGAGCTGGACAGGAAGTCATCACATTCCACACCATGTCTGGCTTTCAAAGATGGTCCTGCTGTGTGAATGAAGGTGGGTGCAGTACAAGTAGTGATTCCACAGTTGCCCCCTCACTTCCCGAGGATGAGGCTGCCTTGTCAATGGTCACAAGGCAGCCCCATCTTCAGGAACTGTGAATCCCAAGTGAGTCTGGCCCACCTAGTTCCTCCATTCATTTGCATGGGTAAAACAGACACATACTGCCACCACTTCATTTGCCCCATGGATCCCAGCTCCTCTTCCTCAGTTTCACCCAGGCAAACGGAGAGAAGTGCCGGGCAGAACACAGAGAAAAGGAGAGGAGTTGGGATCTGCAAGATGAGTGAAAAGGCAGTGGCAAGTGGGCCCTCCTTCTCCTCCTCTTCCTTGACTATGCATGGATCTGTTTTTCTGAGAATCTCTTCTCCTTTTCCCAGACGAAACAGACACACATGGTCTGCAGAAAAAGGGATCATGATCCTCAGGGTACGTGAACTGGTGGCAGGAAATGGTGCTTCGTCTCCTCCCCCCAGACCAGGAACCACAGTGGCAAGCATCACCCCACCCCCGGATTGCAGTGGTGGTGCCCCTTCCCCCAATATATTTTCATCTCTTTTTCCCAATTTTGTGAGGGCACTGCTCCCCTAATCCTTGTGAAAGTGGACAGTCAACTGTACCTGCAAAACAATGTTTAGTACCAACTTAATTTTTTAAGTCTTGTTTCCAGTCACTAATTTATAAAAACAACGAACTCCTATAACAAAGTTAATTTTAGGTAAAATCATGCATTCCTGTATTAAAAACAAGTCAAAACTAAATTCATATACACATACTATATGCACTGTAGTAGCAACAAAAATGTCAAAACAGTGAGTTTACATTATGAAACATTTTGCTTATACTTCATTCTAAAATGTTGGCCCAAAAACTAGATTTTCATTTCAGTCTTGATTCTTGGCTGTCTCCCAGTGGGTGAACAACTGTAGATATCCTGTTGTTTTGGGACTGCAGGTCCCATAATCTGTCACCATCGGATCTGCTAGATAAGGATAATGAAGCTAAACACTACAAACATTGGGAGGGACAGAGTTGTCGAATCCTGATCTACGTACTTTAATGAGGTCTTTTTAAATCAAATTGTGCAGTTTATATATCTTCATCTTGAAATCCACATGTGTAATTTACATTTTATCTTCAATTCTATTAGCATACCAATTTCACGCCTGGAAATGTTGCAAAACACATCAGCAGTGTAATCCCAAACATATTTAATTCCAACATTGAACACTGCCCAAATACAAGTGTGTTCGGTTAGACTGAGGAACTTTAGATCTTCAGTCCTGACTACTATGACCTAAATCCAGTTATTATTCACAATGACAGTAAAACCAGTGAATCAATGAAATATATACAAGAACCGAACTACCAAGTTCCCATGCATATAACTGATTGAACTTTAGTTCGGACTATTAGATTTATAAGCCTATGACAAGGCTCTTGAGATGTTTTTAGACTGCAGCTTCCAGCATTCCTCACCCGTGAGTGCTTGGGGTTGCCAGAAACAGTATGTGAAGGACTGTGTGATTCCCACTTACACCATGGAAGATAGCTATATGAAACTGACAGTAGATTTAGCTCAAATGTATTCATGACTTTGAATTCACAAAACAATTCATGATTTTTATAACACACTGATGTGTGATGGTAAATATCTAGATGCTACACAGATGAGAAGCAGAGCCAAAATGGCGTGACAATTGGGATTAAGCATGGCATTGAAGTCATAGATTAATATTAGCAGTTAAGAGTCTGAGTCAAATGTTCCCCTAGGCCAGAGGCACGGGAAAAAAAAAAGAGGAACAAGTGTGGGGCAAACACAGGAGACAACACATCACAAGGGAATGGCCTCAGAAAGGAAAGTGGGAAGGAGCAAAACTCAGTCAAAGATGGAGCCAGGAAGGGGTAACATGAACATCTCAGAAGTCAAGAGATGTATCCAAGCAGGATGTACTTTTTAATCTAAATAGTAAGCAGAATTTAGACCTCTTACCAATGCCGGACTTCAGCAATGATAAGTCTTATTAACATGAATAAGAGGTACAATAAAAGCAAAGGAATCATGGATACTCCTAGAAACAGCTACCCAAGGGGAAATGGCCATCTGTTTGGCAGGAAATAGAATAATTTTTAATCTACTGAGAAAAGAATGACCCTGATGCTATTTAGTGTCCACTAATGTTTATATGTTTAGAAACCAACATTTGGTACTGAGTCTCATTAAGCTGCCAAGAATAATCTGTGAAATGACCTCCTATTCAGCCACCTAAAATCCAACTATTCATAACAATTTCTGTATTTTATATCAGTATAGGATGCTAAACTCAGAGGGTGCGACTTAAGGGAGAGAGTGACTGTTTCAATCAATCCCTCTGGGCAGCTAAACCAGGAAATCCCAATTGGATGGCCCCCTGCGAGGGTCTTCCTCCAGGGGCAAACCATGAATGGGCAACTTGGAAGTCCCTGAACAGATTTAGAAGTGCAGTGGACAGATCAAAAGGCAACCTGGCAAAATGGCACTACCTAAAAGAATCCCCCAACTTGTGTGACTGTGGAGTAGAACGGAAAACTCCGCATATGTATGCTTGTCCACTCTGGCCTGCCTCATGTACAGAGGAAGAATGGTTGGAGGCTACAGACAATGCCATTGCTGTTGCCCGTTTTTGGTCAAAAGATATTTAGCCACTTGTGCTCCTATTTTTATCAGTTTTATACTAATTGATGCAATGCTTTTGATACAAAATAAATAAATAAATAAACAGGGTTAAATATCATGAAATGGCAGCCAACTGCTAGTTATTTTCTACACTATTTTTTTTTTTTTTTTTTTACTGCCAAGGATAAGAAGTGCTTCAGACACTTTCTGCCACTATTTGGCTGGCTTTGGGTGCTGTGCACCTTGACCTGGGTAAATTGGGGGGTGTTATACATTATTTTGTCTCAGGCAGCAACACATCTTGGACCAGCCCTTAATGTGCACAATATCGTATTTCCATTGAAGTTTGAACTTAATTATATGTGTTCTATAAGTGTATGTCGGCATTTTATATGGAACTACAGCACCCTCTTGTGTCTTTAAAGAATGTATTCACCACCCTTTTCAATAAGCATGCACACACATCGATGCTCTATGAAAAGGAAATGGAAAACACAAAATGTATGCAAATGCCAATAATGGACCTCAATATTTTTCCAACACAAATAGCCTCCGCCATTTTCCTGTTTTGTATTTAATTCGAATATCTGATCAGTCATTTCACAACTGATGATAATACAACAATATGTTGAGAGCTATAGGATTTCAGTACCTCTAAGTGGTGTAGAGCATCAAGAGGTAAAGTGGCAAAAATGAAATCTTCAACTGATTTGGGTTGGTTTGTTTTAGTTTTAGAGCTTTGGCCGTGCAAATTCTGAGTCCCTTCTTGAACTGTAGGGTTCTGTGTTTTGTTCTGAAGACTCTTCTGCAATTTCTGTTCCCTCCGTATGTCTTTGGCTTTACGGCAAGGTGGTTTACTCAAGTCAGCTCCTTTGCCTAGAACAATAAGGGGTATACACTCAATAGTAAAAGCATATGTTCCACAAATAATAATAATAATAATAATAATAATAATAATAATAATAATAATACATTTCCAAACTTTTAAAGAGGATCACAAGAGATGCAAATAAAATGACTATGGCCTAGATCTCAAAATTAGTGAAGTTAAAGAAAGTCAAGGAAGAACTGTTACCTGTCTCTAGACACCTGTGACTCCCCCCAGCCCCCCAAATCCTTTCTTTGGCTAGATCTACATTGCCATATAATCCAGATTATCAAAGCAGAAAACCCACATTATTTGCTTTGAACTGGATTATAGGAGTCTACACTGCCATATAATCCAGTTCAAAGCAGATAATCTGGCTATTATATGGCAGTGTAGAAGGGGCATAATTTTAATTATATTGGAGAAATAGGAAAGCCTTTAGTTAGTTTGTAAAAATGGTCAACATTGATAGTAAGTAAACACTTTGGGTGGCCTGGGAACAGTCACTGTACTTAATCACTTTTTAAACAATGTATAAAGCTCTCAGAGACTAGTCTTTAACTACAGCTAACAGCTCCATTTACTGCAATTAAAGCACTTTGATAAAACAGATCCTAGAAGGATGTAATGGACACTTCTATAAATGACTACGTATAAGAGAATGCTCAATTTTCTTATATCTAACCAAGAAACATGTGGAACATCACATTTGTTTCTTTGGAGGTCCCCTGAGTTGAAGACTGGGACACATTTCCTTTAATAAATTGTCTGAACAAGATACCAAAAATATTGTATTTCAGTGTGTGGGCCCTTCATCAAGACAGAAATGTGCACCATGTAATTTATAGATTTAGGTAATATATTTATTTATTTATTCATTAATTTAGTATATTTATATACCACCTTTCTCACCCCTGGGGGTAGTCAAGGCGGTTTACAACATATTAATGGCAAGAATTCAATGTCAACATACATATAAGAAAATAAAATCACAATAACTAAACACTGGTATATAACTATAAATTAAAATAATTAAAACCATTAAACATAGACATATACAACATGTAAACTCTAAGACAAAGCATTAAAAACATCCTAATATAAATATTAAAATCGCATGATCCAAAAATTGTACACCGTGGCTAGTCCGATTGTCATAGCACATATTTCCTGATTATTCTTTGCATTGCATTACTTGTCAAAAGCCTGGTCCCACAACCACATCTTTGTTTTCTTTCTGAAGGCCAGGAGGGAGGGTGCTCATACAATCTCACTCAGGAGAGAGTTCCAGAACCGAGGAGCCACCACTGAGAAGGCCCTGTCTCTCATACCCACCAACTGCACTTGCAAAGCAGGTGGGACCAAGAGCAGGGCCTCCCGAGAAGATTGTAACCTCCAAACTGGTTCATAGAGGGATTTACAGTGAAATATGTGGCTAGTTTAGTGAAAATACTTTCATCTGGAATTTTAATAGGATATAAACTTGTAAAGAGCAAATTCCAGATCGTCAACCCTATATGCCATGTCTTCTGACTATCTCTTATTACTATCTGACAACACTAGAACCAGCATTACTTCTCTATCTGTCCCTCTTAGTAGCTACTGTGCAAAAGCGAATGCAAAATACAGATATTTGAGAAATGGGTGATAAATTCACATTCAGGTTCTTAGCTCTATTCTCCTTACGCTATTTAGTTGTTTGGACTGATGATATCTCAAAAATATATAAAGCTGTACAAGTGTATGTATGTGCTGTCAAGCCTCCTGTTGAATTTCATAGTATTTCCTTAGACAAGAAATATTTTGAGTTGGTTTTGCCAGTTCCTTCCTCTGAAATATAGGCAAACAACAACTGGTATTCATTAGTACTCTCCCATCCAAATATGAATCTGGACTTACACCATTTAGCATTCCAAGATCATACAGGACCTGATGCCTCCAAGATAAACCTGTACAAGTCTTTTAAAAGAAGTACCAGAACGCAAAGGATCGAAATTACATTTTTAATATCACAATGGAGTTACCTGGCTTAGGAGTTGCATGGCCAACTTTTTTAGTTAATTGAAATGACTTGCTGGTGTTGTCATGAATTGTCTCTTTGCATGATCCTGTATGCTGCGTTTCTACTTTCTTTGCATTTATTTCTCCTTTTGTTTCTTCTTCACTCTCCACTTTCTCTGTATAATCAATGCTGAGGGGCTCTAGCTCAGATTGGCTGGTGCCTGGTTCATTTTTCAACAAAAAACTGCAGTCATCAGCATCTTTGGTGTGGGAATCCATAGGCTCCACTGGATATAAAATAATAAGAACAATCTGTCAGGAATCAGAAATGGGAAGCGGAAGCATCTTTATGTGAGAAAACTTTTATATTAAAACCAATCAAAATAATATAAAATAACTACCCTATGGGTGTGCATGGATGAGCTCATAACCATTTTTATATAGCCGATCTTTGGAAAAATGGTTGATAAAAATCAGTTGATCATGATACTTTAATGTTGCTCTAACACAGTTAATATGATCTCTCAATTCCTTTCCCAAGATAAACTGGACATCCTGATCCTATCATAATATTTTGAAAGTAATCTAAGAAAACATGCGTTCACACTTCTGCTGCAGAAGTTACATGAAACAGGACAAGACACATACAACTATACACAAGTAGTCTCATGGGACAGATACAAATTTCTGGCCAGTAATACAAATCAGTAGTCATCTGGCCTGATTTTTCACCATGCCACCCTGGAATTGTGTATTCCCTCTCCCTCCACATTTGGACAAACCTATACTTTCTGTCCTTCAACTATACATACATCCAATGTGAATGTGTACATCTGGAAAAAACAATCCACACATGCAGGTAATACCTGTATTTTAAAAATGATTAGCCCCCACTCTTCAAGCCTTCCGTACACAATTGAAGACATGGTTTTTTCAACAAGTCTTTGGCCATATTTCGATTCCTTTAATTAATATACGTGAGGATCCATAGATGTCACCAAGCACTTTACATGACTGAGATTGATTATTGTTGTTTTATACCTGCAGCTATTGCTGGATTTTACTGATTTAAACCAGGGAATTTTGTGAAGTGAGATATTTATGTTGGCTGTTATTGTTTTATGTTATTGTTTCTGAAATTTCTGTATTTTATGTGTTGGCACCTGCAAGTGCTTTGTAAGCCGCCATGAGTCCCTCTAGAAGATGGTGGCGGGGTATAAATAAAGTTTATTATTTATTATTAAAATGAAATTATTTTGCCAGTAGATTTATCCAACTATCATTTGGCTATGTTGACAGAAAAATCTTGAAAGTATTCATCAGAAGTAGCTTGTAAGTATTAAAAGAAAAGACCGTATATATTCTAATATAAGCCGATCCGAATATAAGCCGAGGCACCTATTTTACCACATAAAACAGAGAAAACGGATTGACTCGAGTATAAGCCGAGGGTGGGAAACGCAGCTGCTATGGGTAAATTGCAAAATAAAAATAGATACCAATTAAATTACATTAATTCAGGAATCAGTAGGTTATATATTTTTGAATATTTACAGAAATGGTAATTTAAGATAAGACTGTCCAACTCTGATTAAATGATTATTTACCTTATTCAATGTAAATGTGCTAACGTAGCCTTCCAATAATAATAGAGTAAAATAAAAAAATGTAATAACAACAACAATAAAAAGAGTAAAATAATGAATGTAGCAATAACAACAATTATACAGTAAAATAATAAATGTATAATAACAGAGTAAAATGATAAATGTAATAATAATAAATAGAATAAAATAATAAATGAAATGAAAATAATAATAACAGAGTAAAATAATAAATAACCTTGACTCGAGTATAAGCTGAGGGGGACTTTTTCAGCGTAAAAAAAGGGCTGAAAAACTAGGCTTATACTCGAGTATATACAGTACTTCTTTTTCCTAAGAGGAACCAGACTTACATCTCTCATGGGTATCTGATTAGGGTAGCATCCATGCCATTTTTGTGAGTATGCCAAACACCACAAGAAATAGCAAGGAGTAATAATAAAGGTTACATTTAATCTCTGCAAAATCCCACAAAGATTAATTACACATGTTTCTTGTATAACGAAATGTTCAAAAGCATGGCACCTGAAAAACCCAAGAGCAGCTCCAGGCTAAAGTTCTGAAAGACCTGTAGATTTTAAGTTGGGGTGAGTGGATAGGATGGACATACTTTAAATGCAATAAGAATGATATGTAGTTTAGAAAAGGTAAAGCTTTCCCCTGACATTAAGTCTAGTTGTGTCTGACTCTTGGAGTGCTCATCTCCATTTCAAAGCTTAAAAAGTCAGTGTTGTCCATAGACACCTCCAAGGTCATGTGGCCAGCATGACTGCATGCAACAATGTTACCTTCCCACAGAAGTGGTACCTATTGATCTACTCACATTTGCAAGTTTTCAAACTGCTAGGTTGGCAGAAACTGGGCCTAACGGGGGGAGCTCGCCCCACTCCCCGGATTTGAACAGCCAACCTTTTGATCAGCAAGTTCAGCAGCTCAGCGGTTTAAGCTGCTGCACCACCAGAGGGCCATATGTAGTTTATACATTGTATAAAATTTTAGTTTATGGCTCCATACTGGTAAATGTTTTATTGATTTGTTGTGGTTTTATATTATATATTAATGTTTTTAATTGTATTTATAATAATGTGTGCATTTAATTGTTACGTGTAAACCGCCGCGAGTCACCTGCAGGCTGAGAAAGGTGGTATATAAATACAGTAAGTAAATAAATATAGGGGTGGGATGGTCAAACTATGACAACTGGACTTCATGTGGCTCCTAAGTCCCTTACAGCACCTTGTAAAACATGGCCATAAACAAGCCAGTTCCACACTAGGGAGCATTTGTCCATTGTCTCCTATCCATAGTCTGTAGTGATTCATGCTTTGTCACCAAACCAATCATTTAAAACTTTGAAAAATGGAAATGGGGTGGGGGTGGCAAATCACCAATCACATTTGATACCAAATGAGAGACTCCCCCCTGAGCACACAGAAAACTGGGCGACTTGGAAGGCGCTTAACAGACTGCGCTCTGGTACCACAAGATGCAGAGCCAACCTTAAGAAATGGGGCTAGAAAGTGGAATCCACGACATGCGAGTGTGGAGAAGAGCAAACTACACACCACCCACTATGATGCACCCTGAGCCCTGCTACATGCACAATGGAGGGCCTCCTTATAGTAACACCAGAGGCACTCCAAGTGGCCAGCTACTGGTCAAAGGACATTTAATCAACTACCAAGCTTGCAAACTTTGTTCTTTGTTTGTTTGTTTGTTAAAAAATGCAATACAACTGTCTGGTTTGCTCCTGACACAATAAATAAATTTCCTAGAGTGTATGATTAGTCTTTTAAAGTCTTTTTTCAAAATGCTGGGGGCAAAGAGGTGATCTCTGGAAAGGGGTATAGCCCTAGGCATCTTGAAATTGCCCGTACAAATACATATGCATGCAACTTCAAGTCACCTGTTGATTTATTGAAAACTCATGAATATCATAAGGCAGAGATGTCAAAACTTGCGTCCCTCCAGGTGTTTCAGACTCCCAACTCCCAGAGGTCCTAACCAGCTTGTCCAATGGTCTAGAATTTTGGAGCTGAAGTCCAAAATTTTGACATCACTGTTAGAGGGTTTTCTAAGGCAAAGAGTACTCAGAAGTGGTTTACCGTTGCCATCCCTCTGAAATACACAGGGTGTATTTCAAAGCTCCACTGTCTTGTTTTACATTTTCCACAGCCAAGTGATGGGTGCTAAATTCACAAGCAAGTAGGCACAATCAAAACTTCTTAAGATCATGGGTGTTTTGTGTGTGTGTGTGTGTGTGTGTGTAAGGAGCAGCTTGAGAAACTGCGAGTAGCTTCTGGTGTGAGAGAATTGGCTGTCTGCAAGGACATTGCTCAAGGGACGCCCGGATGTTTCTGATGCTTAATCATCCTTGTGGGAGGCTTTTCTCATGTCCCTGCATGGGGAGCTGGAGCTGACAGAGGGAGCTCATCCATGCTCTTCCCGGATTCGAACCTGCGACCTGTCAGTCTTCAGGTTTAACCCATTGCACTACCAGGGGCTCCTTAGACCAAAAGCTAACCTAAGGCCAGAATTATGTCTACAGGTCAATTAGCTGTTTACCATAAACCCATGGCAGGCCAGGTGTGTAACAGCACCTCTTATTTGTATCCCTTGACCACTAGTATTCGTGTACTCACAGTTTTGATGTTGGAGGAATAATGTAAACATTGTGGCTGGTTCATTTGTAACTAGCTTAATAATGAGGGGAAATGACCATAGCAATAACTATATTGAATAAATGAAGAGTGAGCTTTTTGTAACACAAACAACTGACAAATTCATTCTGGAAATTTTAGAAAAATTGCAGAACACAACAGCAACTAATTTTAATGGTCATTTTTACCTTCACTATCTATTTTACTAATTTCTCCTTTCATGAGGAACTTCAGCATCTTCTTTAAAACCTTTTTGTGTGACTTGGAAGGCTGAAAATGTAAAGCCCGACATCTACAAGAAACAAAACAAAAAACAGTAATACAGTTAGTTGTCTACAGTTAATACCGTATATTAAGGGTAAACTTGCTTTGTAGTACAGCAACTAGTCACCATATCCACACTATGTGAACATCATTAGCTTTTACTATTATTGTGCTATTGGGCGCTGTCAAGTTGTTTCCAATATATGACAACCCTAAGGCAAACTTACCCAAGGGTTTTCTTGGAAATACAATGATGCCATGACTTAAGAGTTTAATTTGTTCCATGGCTGAGCTTTTAACTTAGAATGCTCTTATCTCAAAGTGAATTTTTCCATTGGAATGCTATTAATCTGTTACGTTCCACCTGAACCTCCTCCCATTTTTTGCATGGTTTGAAATAAGAAAATGTACTTCATAAATAACGAATAATGCACATTCACATGGAACAATAAAAAAGATCAACTTTTAAATGGTAGAAGAATGAAGTCATGGCACAATGGTAAAAGCACAAAGTTATGACAAGGAAGCACAAGGTGAAAAGGCAGAAGCATCTTTTGTTCATACGTTACTCCTTCCAGCCTCTCTCCCTCTCTTGTTCTCTCTCCCTCTCCCTCTCTTGATGAAGCCAAACAAACCAGGAATAAAAACCACAAAATCAAAATCCTCAAACAAAAGCAAAGCAGACAGCAATCTCCCAAAGCAGACAGGAGATTGTCTAAAGCCCTGTACTCTCATGTTAGCACTCCCACTTACGCTAGCTCTTAACTCAAAATGCTGCTCTTATGTCAAAGCAAAACCAGGCTGAGCAGCAGCTCTTAACTCAAAACACTCTTAAGTTGAGATACTCTTAAATAAAGGTTCCATATTTGTTCAAAGAGAGTTTGCCATGGCTTCCTCTGAAAGTATGACTCACCCAAAGCCACCAAGTGGGTTTCCATGCTGAATGTAGAATCAAATCTTGTTCTCCAGAGTCATAATTCAATGCTCAAACATTTTGCCAGTATTATTCATTTGAAGGTTCTCTCCAGGGAACCAAAAGAATCAATACTCAGATCTTTGCTGACTAGACTTTTGACTTGCTATAAGATGACTTGTTATATCATCAGCAGTATTTATCTTCATAGTACTCTTCAAGGGGCTTAGAGTTTAGAAAAAATACTTTTCAGTTTTTAACTATATCTAAAACGCTGATTGTATTTTAATCTGTAATGTGTTTTATTATGGTTTAATTGTCTTATTATGTGTTAATTGTTATTACTGACTATATATATTTCCTTTTTGTCCTAATGCACCTGTATGTTTTATACCTTATTGTTAGCTGCTTTGAATCTCCAATAGGGGAGAAAAGTGAGATATAAATTAATAAATAATAGTAGTAGTAATAATAATAATAATAATAATAATAATAATAATAATAATAATAGAGCTCCCAGATGCCCACAGCCAGCACAATCATACTGGCTGGAAGATTGCAGTCCGATGAAGCAACTTCTCCAAGATGATGACTGAAATATAGCAATATGGCCAGCTATCATCCCCATTCTACTTTTAATATTTTATACCAAACACACTTTTGAGACTTATTGCACAACAAAGACACCAAACAGGAGAGGGAAAAAATATTTCACATAGCAAATTCTTACCTTATTGTATACTGAGGACAACATGTCTGATTCATTGTGGGCTTGTAAATATATTTCCCACTCCTAGAAAATGTAAGGAAAAATATTTAATTGTATTTTATTCATTCTTAGAATACCCTTAAACTAAATATGTGATTAATCTCTATAACAGACATGGGTAAACTTTGGCCCTCCTGGTGTTCTGGACTTCGACTCCCACAATTCCTGACAGAACACCCGGAGGGCCGAAGTTTACCCATGCCTGCTTTATATTATAAAGGAAAATATAGTAACATTTGCCCAACCCATTTTTCAATCCATTAAAATACCATACTTCTAAAATGATATTGCCTGATTTCTGCTCATTTAAAATGCTAAAACAAAACAAGAGTGAGTGGGTGACTTAGAGCACATTTTCACTGACCATTTACTGCAATTTCAAACTGGTATTGAAGAAAGTTGTTTCGCTGTACAAATCATTACATAGGAAATCCCGGAACCAGTTTGAAGCCAGAATGGCGACTGCACAAGCCACAGAGCAATGATGGGCTTTGTTTCATGTACTTTTGTGAGAGTTTGTTGTCTGGCTGTCGCAGTTTGAAGCTAGCTTTGAACTGCATTAAATGGTCAGTGTAGATGGGGTATGAATTTAGATCAAACATCTTCTAAAAAAAACCAAGGCCTAGATCCTGCATCAGAAGCTGTGTTGTTGTGTAACTTTACAATGATGGAGATAAATCTTTAACACAATACACAACCATGTTAAAGAACTGCAACATGGAAATAAACAAGTTGTCCAATCGTGCATCAGGGACTCCCATCATACAACATGGAAGTGCAAAAGGTGGGGATTTTTTTTTATTTCTAGCCAGGTTCAGACTACTCATAATTTCCTACTGCCCTCCGTTGTGGATTGGCAGTATCTGTGGGTCTATTCTGGGTTGCCTTTTCTGCTTGCACTGTCATTGCCCCATGGTAGCCTGTCACACACAATGTCATACTGCTGCACACTACAATTACACATGGCCCTCTTGGTCTCTCTGGTTACACAACAATCCTAACAGTGCAACTACAACAACACTCTTCTTTGGCCCCTTTCACACAGATGTCAAAAATCCACATTGAATTTAATTATATGGCAATATGGACTCAGATAATCCAGTTCAAAGCAGATACTGTGAGTTATATGGTTGTGTGGAAGGGCCCTCCCAAGAATATGATTATTGAGCAATGCCATAGTTTTAAACTGCACTTGTAAATTGGTTTATGACATCATAAATTCCCAACAGGATGTCAGTTCAAGTTTCTTCTATGTTCAGAACCAGAATGGAAACCAGTTTGACTTCCTGTTCACAAATGGAATACTTTCCAAGTTTGAAGAAGGTTCCTATACTATACAAAAGCAAGAGTAAATTGCCTAATGCATCTTGTTACACAGTGGTCATTTTGTTGGAACTCAATTCACTCATGACAAGAGACCCTGATCAACTCCAATATTATCTGTGTGTACTCAGCTTCCCATTGCCTAACTGATTACTATATCAGCAATGAGTAATGGTTCTTTGAGTGAGTTTCTTCCACCCGACACCACTTCCCCTTGGGGTCGCTGTAGGAATGCTACTGGCAAACAGCAGGTGTCCCATGGGGTCAATTTACATTCCTTCCTTCATAAACAGAAAAGAAACAATTTTTCCTATAAACAAGATTTGACAATTAGCTGGGATAAGTGCATGAACAAATCAAAAGTTCATATCCTTTCTTGGAAAGCTGTATAATGTCCTATTTTAAGCTCAGATGTTCTAAGGGCTGGAAAACTACAATTTCATCAAAAGCATGTGAAGTATGTAAATCCTGATCTCATTTTGTCTCAAATTAGATGTCGTGGTTCAGAGACCTAATGTTCAAAGACAAAACCATGTGGAATGTCTCAGCTTTAAACCTGGCATTTTTAGCTGCAGATATTCCTCAGTAGCAAGGATTGGAAGACACTAAAAATCTTGCTCCCAATCTCAAGAGAAAACAATGAAATAATAGGGAATGACCCGCATGTTTATGGGGCATAAATTTCCAAACTTATTGTGCAAACAGGAAACCATGGATAATAGTGAACCCTATTGAAATGAATAACTTTTACTGGGAAGAGTAGCCCCAAAGGCCTAGAAAATTCCTAGAGAGTTAATCTCCTTAGAGATTTTCTAAATCAAGATGACTCTATTATTCAAAACGATCTTAACCGATTAGAGAGATGGGCCAAAACAAAATGATGTTAAAGGACAAATGCAAGATACTCCACTTTGAAAGAAAAAAATGAAATACAAAGATACAAAATTGAGGATGCTTGGCTCAATAGTGGTATATGTGAAAAAGATCTTGGAGTCCTCATGGATAACAAGTTAAACATGAGCCAACAATGTCATGCAGCAGCTAAAAAAGCCAATGGGATTTTGGCCTGCATCAATTGGAGTCTAGAGTCTAGATCCAAGGAAGTCATGCTGCTCCTCTATTCTGTCTTGGTCAGACCAAGCCTGGAATACTGTGTCCAGTTTTGGGCACTGCAATTGACTCTAAGCTGGAAAGTGTCCAGAAGGGGGTGAATAAAATGATTATGTGTCTGGAGAACAAGCCTTATGTGGAGCAGCTTAAAAAGCTGGGCATGTTTAGCCTGCAGAAGAGAAGGCTACAAGGAGACATGATAGTGATGTATAAATATGTGAGGGGAAGTCACAGAGAGGAGGGAGCAAGCTTGTTTTCTGCTGCCCTGGAGACTATGACATGGAACGATGGCTTCAAATTCCACCTGAACATCAGGAAGAACTTCCTAATTGTGAGAGCTGTTCAGCAGTGGAACTCTCTTCCCGGAGTGTTGTGGAGGCTCCTTCTTTGGATGCTTTTAAACAGAGGCTGGATGGCCATCTGTTTGGGGGTGCTTTGAATGTGATTTTCCTGCTTCTTGGCAGGGGGTTGGACTGGATGGCCCACAAGGTCTCTTCCAACTCTATGATTCTATGATAACTTCCAGAGGAAGCATACCATAGAATTTCCCAGAGGGGGGAAAAAACCCTAGAAAGGGCACATTTTGTTGGGTACAGGTAAGTGAAATCACAGTTATTTCTCCTGCATTTACCAGGGTCATACTGTAATAAAAACAACAATAATCACTGAATAAAGAATCACAAGCTAAAGAGGAAATCAACAAGCATTACTGGAAACATGTTCTCTATTTTTCAATGGTCCAGTGAGACATTTATGATTTTTTTAACAATAAAAGTCTGCTACTTAAAATTTAACAACACATCCCTGTGTATCTAAATAACAAAGTTACATCCGTGGTTTTCAGAAGACATCTCTTACCTTCGCCATCCTCTATCTATAAGGTCTTGGTAATCTTGAACAGTTAGTGAATGAGCCCACATCCCTGGAACAAACATACAAGACAAGATATAGCATAATCATGGGTACAAAACTAGTGCCAGACTAATATACATGTTCACCTTGATTTTTTAGCTACCAGTATTTTTAAAAAAACTGCAAAACAGCAAAACAACAGAAGGGAAACAATCTGGGACATCTAATCACCTCTCAACAAAAGATTGCTCCAGGCACTAACAAGCCACACCAAACAACAGACAGGCCATCAAATGCTAATCAAGGTGGTCAGTTGAAACATTCACACCTAGCTCCAGCAGACAAGAGTTCTTTGTCCCACCTTGGTCATTCCACAGATATATAAACCCATTTTCCTGGTTCCAACAGACCTCACTACCTCTGAGGATGCTTGCCATAGATGCAGGCAAAACGTCAGGAGATAATGCCTCTAGAACATGGCCATATAGCCCAAAAAAAAAAAACCTACAACAACCCAGTGATTCCGGCCATGAAAGCCTTCGACAATACATTAATTTAACATAGTTTGTGGCAGCCACAAAAATTAAGTTTCTGGAGTATAGGAGCAGTTTACAAAGTAAGCACCACACCATTAAACAATAAATAACACTTTCAAGCCAAGAACAGGGGGAAAAAATCAAATTGTGTTACATAGGGCCCTTCCACACAGCCATATAACCCAGAATATCAAGTCAGATAATCCACAATATCTGTTTTGAACTGGGTTATCTGAGTCTACATTGCCATATAACCCAGTTCAAAGCAGATGTGGAATTTTATACATTATGTGTGGAAGGGCCCTGAGAATCCCTTCTCCAGAATCCTGAAATTCAAATTTGACTGAGAAAGTAACTTTTTTGCTTTGTAATATTTCAGTGTACATAAAGAATCATTTAAAATATTGGGAGAAAACTTCCTCCAGGCTTTGCGTGTAAGAAACCATAATGATTTGGAATGGCTTGGACTTCAACTATGGATGGCGTGATTTTAATATGGAACATAAAGTTTTTGAATGTTTAATATGTTTTAATTTTAAATTTTTGGAATTGTATGTGTTTTGAGGCATTCAATAATTGCCTCTATGTAAACCGCCTTGAGTCCCCTTCGGAGTTGAGAAAGGCGGGATATAAATAGAGTAAATAAATAAATCTCCAAGCTATCTCAATATGTACATCTATATAAGTCCAGGGATTCCAAAACCCAAAACATATGTGTTGTCAAACATTTATGGTCAGAGATGCGCAAGCTGTATTCCAATGTTGCTCTCACGGTTCCACTGAATGCAGTTCTCAGGCTGGAAGCCTGGCGGAGAGTTCTAAAGGCGGGTTGTTGTAGGTTTTTTCGGGCTATATGGCCATGTTCTAGAGCAGGGGCCCACCAACTTTTTAAACAGAGGGCCAAGTCACAGTTCCTCAAACTGTTGGTGGGCCGGATTATAATTTGAAAAAAACATGAATGAATTCCTATGCACACTGCACATATCTTATTTGTAGTGCAAAATCACTTAAAAACAATACAATAATTAAAATGAAGAACAATTTTAACAAATATAAACTTATTAGTATTTCAATGGGAAGTGTGGACCTGCTTTTAGCTCATGAGATAGGATTGTTGATGTTATTGTGTGCTTTCAAGTCATTTCAGACTTAGGTTGACCCTGAGCGAGGGCCGGGTAAATGACCTTGGAGGGCCGTATCCGGCCCCCAGGCCTTAGTTTGAGGACCCCTGTTCTAGAGACATTCTCTCCTGACGTTTCGCCTGCATCTCTGGCAAGCATCCTCGGAGGTAGTGAGGTCTGTTGGAACTAGGAAAGTGGGTTTCTATATCTGTGGAATGTCCAGGGTGGGACAAAGAACTTTTGTCTGTTGGAGGGAGGTGTGAATGTTTCAACTGACCACCTTGATTAGCATTTGATGGCCTGGCAGTGCCTGGGGCAATCTTTTGTTGAGTTCCCCTAAACTACAAATCCCAGGAGCTATAATACTTTAATGTGAACTTGATCCATTACCTTCTTACAAATCAGCGACTAAAAATGTGGACTGGGCAATGCTACTGTTATGGGGGTTGGGGGAACTGGCGAACCACATGCTGAACATGAGCCAAAAGTGTGAGGCAGCAGCTAAAACAGCCAATGCGATTCTAGGCTGCCTCCATAGGAATATAGTGTCGGGACTGAGGCTTGGAATACCAGCAGATTAATGTTTGGAGGTTTTGAAAAGCAGAGGCTGGATGGCCATCTGCTGGGAGGGCTTTGATGGTGTATTGCTCACCCTGGGAAAGGTTGCCTGTCTCGTTCTTGCAGTAGCCGCAGCGGTAGCCGCCATCGCCCCCAAAATACTCCACGATGCTGGGCGAGCTCTCCCCCATCGCCGCCATGTCTGCCCGGCTTCCTGGAAGAAGCCTCGCCCGCGACCCTCGGCCAGAGGCCGGCTTCAAGGAGCAGCGCCGGCCCCGCTCGCCGCCATCTTTGCCAAGGGCAACCCAAGGGGAGAGAGCCCACACAGCTGTGTCTCTAGACTTCCGGTTGCGGATCGCAACCGCAGCGGAGCCATCTTTGCCCAGGGCAAACCCAAAGGGGAACAGTCTGCACTGTTGCTGCACTAGACTTCCGGTTGCGGATTGAAAGCCATGTAGGATGGAGGCGGTTTTGACACCACTAGAAATGCCATAGTTCCCCCTACTATGGAATCATGGGGGTTGTGGTTTTGCAAAGCCTTGAGAGTTCTAGTGCCTCGCCAAAGTACAAATAATATATTTACAGTAGTTTGGGTGTTATAAATACTGTAATTGAGCAATATTTTATTTATAACTAGCTGTACCCGCCATACGTTGCTGTGGCCAACCTTCCCTCCCTCTCTCCTTTCCCTCCCTTTTTCCTTCTCCTTTTTTCCTTCTCTAGCCTGGGAAGGTCATGACAGTTGGGGGATGTCCATACTTCCATGTCGATTGCAGTCTTTCCTTACCATGGCGATGTACTTTTCCACTTTGCGTGAATGTTTTTTACTTAAAGCCGAGGAGGATGAATTAGAGAAAAATGGGAATTACCTGGAAATGTGAATGTTCAGGATGTCGTAATGGCCTAGACAGATGGCAGTCATGAAGTTGGTATGGGGAGTTCATAAGCGAGTGCTAACTTGAAATTCGAGCAGGTGTCAAAGGAGGAGAAAGAGTTAAGGGCTTACTCGATTTTGTGGTTACAAGCCTCTCGTGCTTGCACAACTTTTCTGATCCTGTTTTCCATCAGTCATGGATCACTTCCTGTTTGTGTCAAGGACCTCTTGATTCATGCACTAGAGACAATGGTTTATGAAGGACGTAAATTTGTATTTTAATTCTTGGATATAATGTGTTAACTTAGTAGACAGAGGGAATTGAAGTCCTGTGCTGGGGTGGAGGAAACAAGTCAGTGTGAGCTTTGACCGTAAAGTTAATCTGTTGTGCCTTCTATACATTGCCTTGCTTCCTTAGATTTGGGTTTAAATCAAAGCAATTATAAACACTTTTTCACCTAATAAAAATAAATGTTCTAATTCTCCTAGTTTAGTTTTGCTGTCTTAGTTTCTTTCCTTCCCCCTTTTGCTTTTCCTTCCTCTTTCTATCCTTTCTTCCTTCTCTACCTTCTTCCTTCCTTTGCTTTTTGCTTCCATCCTTCCTTCTCTCTTTCCTTCTTTCTTTTCCTCCTTCCTTCGCTCCCTTTCCTTCCTTCCTTTTTCTTCTTTCACTCTCTTCTTCCTTCCTTCTCTACCCCTTTCCTTCCTTTCTTCCCTTTTTCTTTTCCTTCTCCTTTCTCTCTTTTCCTTCTCTACCTTTTTCCTTCCTTCCTTTGCTTTTTGCTTCCATCCTTCCTTCTCTTTCCTTCCCTCCTTCTTTCCTTCCTTTCTCTTTCCTTTCTTCCTTCGCTTTTTTGTTTCCATCCTTCCTTCTCTCTTTCCTTCCCCCTTCTCTCCTTTCCCTCCTTCCTTGGCTCCCTTCCTTCTTCTTCTTTCCCTCTCTTCTTCCTTCCTTCTCTACCCCTTTCCTTCCTTCCTCCTTTTCTTTTCCTTCCCTTTTCTCTCCTTTCTTCCTTCTCTACCTCTCCTTCCTTCCTTTGCTTTTTGCTTCCATCCTTCTTTCTCTTTCCTCTTTCCTCCCTCCTTCCTTCTCTTTCCTTCTTCCCTTTTCTTCTTTCCTCTCCTTTTTTCCTTTCTACTCTTTCCTTCCTTCCTTCGCTTTTTGCTTCTATCCTTCTTTCTCTTTCCTTCCCTCCCTTTTTCTTCTCTCTTCCTTCTTTTTTCTTCCTTCTTTTCCTTCCCCTTCTTTCTCTCCTTCCTTTCCCTCCTTCCCTTATTTTCTTTCCTTCTTCCTTCCTTCTCTACCCCTTCCTGCCTTCATTTTTTTCTTTCCTTCTTTTTCTTTCTCTTCTCTACTTTCTTTCCTTCTTCCTTCGCTTTTTGCTTCCACCCTTCTTTCCTTCCTTCTTCCTTTCCCTTCCTTCTTCCTTCCTTCTTTCTTTTTTCTTTCCTTCTATCCTTCCTTCCTTCTTTCTCCTCTTCCTTTCCTCTTTTTTTTTCCTTCTTTCTTTCCTTCCTTCCTTCACTCTTTGCTTCCATGCTTCTTTCGTTCTTTCTTTCTTTCTTTCTCCCCTTCCTTCCTTCCCTCTTCCTTCCCTTTTTTCTGTATCGTCATTTAGCTTTTTTAGGTTTTTAAGTTCTTTCTGCCGGGTTTTTTTTTGGGGGGGGTTATGAGTGATAGTCACTCATTGATCTGCTAGGGGTATTGTGTCCAAATTTGTCCAGTTTTTGAGTTATGTCAATCCCACAAACAAACATTACATTTTTATTTATATAGACAAGTATCCACCCCTTCCCGCAGCAGGCAGGGGATTCTTGGACTTGTAGTCCAGGAGAAATAACAAGGAACTTTCCCCTGGATTTCTTGAAGCGCATAGAGCGAAAAGGTTGAGAAAACAAGGCTAGCTGAAAGAACAGTTGGGCAATAAGTCTAGTCATTCCTTGAGCCCATCATCCTCCCTCTTCTGCCAGCCTGGGGATTCTGGCACTTGCAGTTGGAAGGAACTTCCTGCGTTTGGGGACTTTGATCCGAGATGCAGGGAGGAGGCACCTGGAAATAAGAGCTGGGATAATAAAATTGGGAAAAGGATATTAAACTGCAAAAACTTTGTTTTTGTGGGACAACCAGCAGCACATTTTGCTATAGGGTTTCAATGATCTCATAGAGGGCCCTTCCACACAGCCTTATAACCCAGAATATCAAGACAGATAATCCACAATATCTGCTTTGAACTGGAATATATAGCAGTGTGGACTCAGATAACCCAGTTCTAAGCAGATATTGTGGGATTTTCTGCCTTGAAAGGTGATTCTTTTCTGTTTTGTGTGCTCCTCTGAAGTAGTTTTTAGAAAAGCACAGTATAAATTAAATTCCAAACAACTTGTGAAAGCAAAATCCCTTTTACTTTCTATAGCCAAACCTTGAAATAGTTGAAAGGTTACTAGAGGAGAAAGATTTCCCTCCCGTAGTTGTTTTTCTTAGAAGCAAAGCAAATAATGCACACAAATGCAGAGGCACATCTGTTTTGAGATACACATGCAACCCTCAGGTTATCAGGGTGTTTTTTTTTTGTATTTTATAATGTTTTTACTTTATTATTATTTTATGTCTTACTCTTTTTTCTCACTATTTTGATTATTAAGTTATAGTTATGTTTTCTATTGTCTAATGTGTTTTGTCCTAATGTAAACTGTTTGTATGGTTTTTCTTTGGGCACTGAATGTTTGCCATATTTGTTGGAAACCACCCTGAGTCCCTTCAGGGAGATAGGGTGGTCTATAAATAAAATTTATTATTATTTATTATTGGGCAATTTGATGGAAGGACACAAACTTTTGATGAAATGGCTGCATAACATATGGAAAAGAGAGTTACAGAAAAGATATGGAGAAAGATAAACTTTAATATAAACATAAAAATATAATGCAACATCATTAATGGGGAAGAAACCAAAACTTTTTTTCTTTTAAAAGGAATATTAACACCCATTCTGTCGTTCAGAAAACGGGTGAAAACCTGGCTATGGGGTTTGGCTTTCGACGAGCGAATCAATATTTCTGTGATCGAATAGATGACGATGAATGATGGACAATGAATTCACTATGACGACTGACCACTGTTATTATGTGATTGCATTTTGCTGTTATAACGTTTTAATTGAATATGTTATATGATGTTTTTAATGATTGTTTTGTGATTTTATTGTTGGAAACCGGCCCGAGTCCCCCGATAGAGGAAAGAAGACCGGTATACAAAATTGCTAAATAAATAAATATTACATTCTTTTAAAAATATTTCTTCTTATTAATATTTTTCCAAAGAAATACTACATTCTTAAACAGGAAAGGGCTAATTTCCATTCTGTCATTCTCTTGGCAAGTCAGCACCTCGAGACTGGTCAGCAGATATCTTCAAAAACAACTTTGGGATGCCTGAATGAAAAAAAATCAAATATTGAGACATTCTGTGGTTAACTAAAACATAACTTATAAGCTTTAACACATTTAAATTCAGGTAATACAAAAGAACAGCACAGAGGCGTCATTCTGTAGTTTGCCTGAAGTTACTTACATTCAGATCTGCTCCTCATCTCTTTGTGACCCTGTGATAGGTGGAATCATGGGCGCTGAAATGTCAAAAGTTTTCACAATTTTCTGGTAGGAAAGAAGGAATAACTTTCAATTTATTTGTTGACTCCATCTGGTCATGTATAAGGGTGCAAATTAAAATTAAATTTAAAATAGACAATATGGCCCCTTCTACACAGCCATATAATCCAGTTCAAATCTGTGTTGAAGGGGCCACAGATACCGTAGTTAATTTTTAAAATGCAGAATCCATCAGTATATTTATTCAGTTTTATCACAATTCAGAGCAAGATTTGCAAAGGTTCACCAAACTATGTTATGAACTAATGTGCTGTCAAAGGCTTTCATGGTTGGAATCACTGGGTTGCTGTGTGTTTTCCAGAAGTATGATTTCCTGACATTTCACCCGCATCTATGGCAGGCATCCTCAGAAGTTGCGAACTCTGTTGGAAACTGGGCAATTGGGGTTTATATGTCTGTGGAATGTCTATGGTGAGAGAAAGAACTCTTGTCTGTTTGAGGCAGGTGTGAATGTTGCAATTGGCCACCTTGATTAGCACTGAATAGCCTTTCAGCTTCAAGGTTTGGCTGTTTACTGCCTGTGATGACCCTTCGTTGGAAGGTGTTAGCAGTTATGAACCACTGTTCATAACAGTTAGCAATGGTAATTATACACCACCCAACAATGGTCATTATACACCACCCAGAGCCATGGCACTACACATAACACCGGCCTAAATAAAACATGATGCTCCACTGTGATGTTGGCACAACAAAACTGCCTTTCTTTCTTCCCTCTAATTGCACATAACAAAACAAACTTTTTTTTCTGTAACAGACTGATTAACTTTATTTCAAGAAGCCATAATCCTTTTGGCTTTCAGCTACTAGTTGCTCATTCCATGCCTAAAGCCTTACCACTCTAACAAAATAAAAGGAATTCATTTATGAAAAAAGGGCTGGAGTTTGGGCAGCAGCAAAGCATTTCCTGGTGAGAAGGGAATAAATACATTATTTGAGATGGGTAGATATACTCCTTCAAGTTATCTTTATGGCAACCCCATGAATTTAATAGGAATTTTTTAGGCAAGGAATGCTCGGAGTTTTGCCAGATCCTGCTGCTAAAACATAGCTTTCCCACTATATTCATTGATGACCCCTTATCCAAGTAATAATGAGATACTCATCAAGGAACATGAGAGGCACTGCAGACTAATTAGACCAGAGAAGTTAGCCATAGCAAAGCACCTGATAAACCAAATCTGGACACAGCATATTATTTGGACCACTCTTAACAACCACCATGTCAGACTGCACAGAGAAGCCATAGAACTCCATGAGCATGTGGACAATTTCAACAGAAAGGAGGAAAACATGAAAATTAACAAAATCTGGCTACCAGTATTTTAAAAATCCTAAAATCAGGACAGTAAATAAAGAACAACGCTCAGAAAACAGGGGAATTCCAGACAGGAAACAATTGGGGCCAGATAACACCTCCCAACAAAGGATTCCCCCAGGCAGCCAGACTTTGAAGCCCCAAGTCCATTCAATGTTAATCAAGGTTGTCAATTGCAACATTCAGACTTGCCTCAAACAGACAAGAGTTCTTTCTCCCACCCTGGACATTCTACAGATATATAAACCCCACTTGCCTGGTTTCCAACACACCCCTTAAACTCTAAGGATGCCTGTCATTGATGTGGGCGAAACGTCAGGGGAGAACGCTTCTGGAACAGCCTACAGCCCAGAAAACTCACAGCAACCCAATAACGAAACTGATACTATTTGGGCCAATTTTCGCATTCCCATGTGACATAAACTATGGTCTTTGATGGAGTGCAAGGAAGGTTGCAGTGAAAAAAGAAAGTGCTTACCTCCTGATTTCACAGGATTTTGGTGAATTTTGCTGTCCCATCAGCAAAAGTCCCTATTACATCACACTGCATATGCTTGTAGTGTAAGGGGAATAGGCAGGGTTTAAGGAAAAATGGAATACATAGCCTTTATAGTAGCTACCTTTATAGCATTTAAGGTACTGAACTGAATAAATTTCAGGCATTTCCTGAAGCCATTTCAAGAAACAAAACAGTACTGTCATCTTACCCGCCATTCTTCATAGTTCATGGATATGACACTTTGTTTACGTAGAAGAGTATCCTGGTCGTTTTCCTCTCCTTCTGTATTTAAAGGTTCTGCCAAAACAATTTATTTATAGAAAATGTGCTTAAATATAGAAAAGCCAGCATGCCAAAGCAATAAATCACAGATTAATGCAAAGTAAATCAATTTTAGAGCAATAGTCTTAAATTAATCTTACCGATTATGGGAAGCTTGTCCCCATCCAGTTTCACTCCTGCAAGTCCATCCTAGAAGAAATACACTTCATTTAAGTCAAGGAACAGTTCAAATACATTACAATTACGCAAAGAAACCTTAAACATGGCATTCACAGTTGATATGCATTAAGGAAGAGCTGTTTACCAATACAAGAGTGTGCTGTTCTGAGCTTCTTTCTTTCAAACTGGGAAGAAATGGAAACTTTCTGCTTCCAGTTTTAAACCACCCAAGGTCCCCCAAATTCTAGAGTTGTTGTTACCAAGAAGAAACCAAGATTATTTGTATTTCAGGTTTAAGAACTAGTCAACATCTCCCAGGGTTTTCAAATTTTAATTTTATAACCCACTTATAAACTGAAAAAGGCCAAATTCAGATGCATGCTTCAAATTTTAAAATGTGAACAAGTTTGGGTGCGTGGGCCCTCTCCTCACACAGACAGGTTGCACACATACATACCATCCTCTGTTCATGTCCAGCATTTATTATTAAAGTTTTAACTATTACATTTGGCCCAGCCATAGGTTTTTTTTAATTCTTGTGTTTATTGTCTACTTGTGAGTTATATTAATTGTATTGTTTATTTTGTTAATTGCTTGTTATTTTATTACTGCTTGTTGTTTTTGATGTGTTGTTGGGCTTGGCCTCATGTAAGCCGCTCTGAGTCCCTTGGGGAGATGGTGGTGGGGTATAAATAAAGATGATGATGATGATGATGATGATGATTATTATTATTATTATACCACAGCTTGGAAATGCATTCTGTAATTTTAATATTTATACTAAGTTTTAATTCTATAAAATTAAAATACTAAGTTTTAGTTGTATGTGTCATGTTTTAGTATGGTAAATAAATACAGTTGTCACATATGCAGCTTGAACCTCAGAAGGCAATATTACTAAATCCATTTTGTCTGGCTTGATCCAAGCTACATTCATAAAATGAGTTTAAGAAGCCTGCCCACTTTCATTTTAGCTAACTACAGCAATCCCTCCACATTTGCAGTTTTTACTTTTGCAGATTTGATTTCTCATGGATTCCAGTGTAAGTTCATGTTCGTAGACCTAGAAATTCCTAGAAAGGTGTTTTGCAGGTTTATTTGCTCCCACCACAAACACAATTTCACAGGGATCCTATGCCCCTAACCCCAGCAAATTTGGATGGATAACGAACACAGATTTGCATGTAAAAAAAAAAAAAAGCAAAGAAGATAGTTGCAGGTATCAACTGTTTTTTTCTGCCATTCCTATTTCAATTTTTAGCGTACAGAAGGCTAAAAACACTCTACTTTGAGTTATCAATGGTAGAACACATATATCTCTGTTGTAAAACTATGATTTCACAAATTATGTTAATTTTGCAAACTACAGAAAAGCAATGAGAAAACGCATTTTAACAGCCCTCCAAAACAGAAAATGAAAGTCTTCTGGGTTCCCCGCTCCTGTTGTAATTTTCCATTTCAGACAATTAACAATGATAACCATACCCCATATTAATAGAAAAAAACATTTTGCTTTCTAACCGTAAATTATATAAATATTTCTCCTCACCCTTATCAGGAATGATACATGAAACATGTTTTCCACAGTCCGTGCAAATGATTTTGGATCGGTCACAAACTCAAAGTAGGATATTGGCGTATTAGCTATAGAAATAAGAATGACAAAAGTATTTGATCCCAATATTAATTTGTCTACCTCCTTCTTCTCTTTTCTTAAATCTGTTATGCAGCAATTATAAACCTTTCAGGGATACCGTAGTGGCACAATGAGTTAAACCCTTGTGCTGGCTGAGCTGCTGACCTGAAGGTCGGCGGTTCAAATCCATGACAAGGGGTGAGCTCCCCTCTGTCAGCTCCAGTTTCCCATGTGGGAAGCCTCTCACAAGGGTGGTAAAACATCCAGGCATCCCCTGGGCAATGTCCCTGCAGATGGGCAATTCTCTCACACCAGAAGCAACTTGCAGTTTCTCAAGTCGCCTCTGACATGATAAAAAAATAGACCTTTCAAATTCAGAAAAGATCTTGTCCCTTTCCCAACTAACTCCTTTCCACTATCCAATTTCCTAGGAAGGTTGACCCAATATTACACATAAGCAGAGAAGAAACCACAAACAATACTAAATTCAAATCATGGTCAGTATGTGTGATCTGAAATACTTACTGTGCTGTCGCACCCAAGCTACTTTAAATGTCTTTAGTGCTAATATGTCTTAGCTTTCTATCAGCTTGGGGGATGCTGATTTGCCTTCCTCTTTGAGCAAGGAGCCCCACAGAATCAATGTCCATGCTATTGCCTTCAAGAAACGGTAATGATTTATTAATTTGTCTTGGGCCTATCTCCACCAGGCACCATCTTGATTTCCACACAACAGTCCATACTTAAAGTTTGAAGGGTAACTGATTGTTCTTGAAGTCACTGTTAATGGATGATTCTGAGAAGAAGAATAGATGGAAGTTTTCCTTGCTCACTTTCTCTGATAAAGGGGACTCTGGGGCACCCAATACCCAAGATGATCAGGCTGAAGGCTGTGAGAGCAGGCCTCTCCTATTGAAGCCTGGCACCTTGCTGAAGGCACTGGAAACTCCACAGACAGCCACTGACCAGTTGTTGATCAGTATAGTCAAATGAGTTCCCAGAATAGTGGTTAGTATTGGCTTGAAATGGCTTGTCCAAGTCTGGATCTCTCTGAGACCAACTATAGACACATCTTACTTCCAAGATTCCCTGGTGTTTTTGTTTTGTTTTTTTTCCATGTCAGGAGCGACTTGAGAAACTGCAAGTCGCTTCTGGTGTAAAAGAATTGGCCGTCTGCAAGGACATTGACCAGGGATGCCCAGATGTTTAACCATCCCTGGTGGTAATAACTCTAATCTAAAATGACTCCCTTTCCTCAGGCAAAGGGGTGAACAAACTTATTGATACAAACCAGGAAGGGTTTTCTTAAACTCTACCCGCATAAAACTAACATAAAACTGACTACTCTAAAAATATGGATATAGAAGTCTGACAAAAGGAACTGGGATTTATTCAGTTTTAGCACACTTACGGTCGTCTTGATGGTAAGCCTGTAAGAGCCCCAAGATCCTTTCTACTTCTTTTTCTGTTGCTTCTTGATGAGATTCTTCCATTTTCTTCAACTAAAATAGTCCACAAGTTGACAGGCTGTCACATATGCCACTCCATTATACAGTGATAAGCATCAGACCCTTACCTCATGATATTATCATCTTATATCAAGTAAAGAAGTTTTGTGGCTCTGATTAAAGTCAGCTCTATTATTCTGTTTCTTCAAACTTAAAAGCAGATATCCACCACACAATACAATGTTATAATTTGAATAACATCATTAAAAACATTTGAAATCCCATTACTCAAAATTCAGATTCAATTATTCAGTTTTTAGTGAAAGGGGTGAGAAAGGTTTGCAATTACAGGCAGTCCCTGGTTACGAACAAAACAGGTTCTGTAGGTTTGTTCTTAAGTGGAATTTGTATATAAGTTGGAATAGGAACATTTTTTAATTATAACTTCCCTATGGATAGGATAGGCAAGGGTTCATACCCCAGTAGTGTGCGTTTTGCTGTCTGTGCCCCCATTCAGAAATTTTCACCTCACTTTCTGTCCCTATAATAATTGGATTTTGAAAAAATTGGCTTGTGGAAACAAGGATTGGTGACAAAGCTTCAAAGGAGACACCTTTTTCCCATGATAACTCTTTCAAGAGTGAATTTGTGAGTTATAATCCGAAGGGTAGATTTCTCTCACTTCCAGATGTCTCACACCCCTCTCCTCCATTCTTAACTATGATTTGTATGTAAATCGGATAGTGTAAAACACATTGCTTACAGTTTTACTACTAATATGCATGCAAGTTGTCATTGAGCTCTCACACAGATCAATTTAAAGAGCGAATTTCTGATGCTGACCTCACATAATTAATGCATGTTTATTATAAGCTATCTGCAACTTCAGTGCATGACATTTTTCCTATATGAAAAAGAATACTGTCATGTCTATCCGTCCAGATCTGCTAGGAGAAATCTGCAGAAAATTAGTCTTCTAACAAGTCATACCTTTGCAAACATGTCTTATAGGTCTATTCTTAGGTTTACTCTTATACTGCTAATATCCATTCAAAGCTTTCAAACTGAAGGCAGACAGCCTTGTGTTTAATATATTGCACACACCTGTGCAGGCACTGCTTTTTCTTCTTGTGTCCCGGCTTTCTTTCGTTGTCTCTCAACTCGTGGCTTTTCAACAGGAGGATCAGCCGTAAACGTTCCCAGCCTAAACCAAGTAAAATGTAATTCTATCAGGGTACATGTCAAATTGTTTGAAGATTTAACTTAAAAGAGAGCAAGAAAGGCTAGAAAAAAATACAGTGCACTCTTGATGTTCACTGAGGAACAGAGGAACAAGTTCCTTGACTAAGTGGAAAAAATACAAATAAAAATATTTTTTTGAAAACACCTTTCTAGGAATCTCTAAGTCCTCCAGCATGAGAGCAGAAGTTGACCACAAAGTCATGTTGGAGGTCCTGGAGATTCCTAGAAAGAGCATATTAATCAAATTAGTGAATAATCAAATCTATAAAAGTCAAATCCACAAATGTAGAAACCTGATTCTCATCTCAATAACTTTAAATGAAGAATGAAGTGTTCTGTCAATTCCACACAAAATTAATTCCTTTGCAATTAGGCACTCATTTGGCAACCTTTAGAGCAGAGCTTTCAAAACATTTCATGTTAGTGATACACTATTTAGACAGGCATGATTTTGCAACACAATAATTCAGTTTAACTAGCAAACCAGAGGTTAAACCAATCCCTTGTCAAGAGATACAGACACATAGTAAAGATTTCCCCTGACAATAAGCCTAGTTCGTGTCCGACTCTGGGGGTTGGTTCTCATCTCCATAGACAACTCCAAGGTCGTGCGGCCGGTATGGCTGCATGGAGCGGCGTTACCTTCGCACAGAAGCGGTATGTATTGATCAACTCACATTTGCATGTTTTCGAACTGCTAGGTTGAAAGAAGCTGGGCCTAATAGTGGGAGCCCGCCCTGCTGCCTGGATTCAAACTGACAACCTTTCTGTCAACAAATTCAGCAGCTCAGTGGTTTGACCTGCTGTGCTACCAGTGGGCTAAATTGTAACATTAAAATTATGTGGACACAACACAGCTCATGAAAACCTTTCATTTATATTTTTTAAATATTTTATTTGTAAGATATCATTTCCAAGATTTTGTTTTTTCTTTACTGCCTTTTTACCTTGCTTGATCTCAACCCCAAGGGAGACTCAGAACAACTTCCAAATTTGCAATAATTCAATGCCACAATAAACATAAACATACAAATACAATATACATTATACATTAAAATCCATAAAAAACATAAAATCATAACAATCAATACATTAAATAAACTATTAAAAACACAAAGACTCAAAATCACAATTCAGGAGCCATTCCAATCATATTTCAATCACTTCATAGCTGCCTATTGTACTATGGTACTCTCCAAATGCTTGGTTCCACAGCCAGGTTTTAAGTTTTTTTCTAAAGGCCAGGAGGGAGGGAGCCAATCTAATTTCACTGGGGAGTCCCACAGCCGAGAGGTCACCACTGAGAAGGCCCTGTCCCTCATCCCCACCAATCGCGCCTGTGAAGGAGGTGGGACCGAGAGCACGGCCTCCTCAGAAAATCTTACTGTCCATGCTAGTTCATAGAGGGAGATACGTTTGGACATGTAAGCACAGGTAACACACCTACATACTACGGCTGACACACTAACAAGTCACAACAGAGAGTTTGGAAATGTATGCTTCAGAAAGTTAAAATTACATTAAAATGTATGATGACAAAGTCGCAATACAGCTACTCTGAGCTGCAGATTTTACAAGATTCCTCCAAGAAATAGGTAATGCGTCGCCCTCCAGATAATATTGAACTCTGACTCCTGTCAGCATTAGCCAGTCATCTTATTAGGAAAAAAATGTGAGAACTGGAGCTCAGCAATATCTGAAAGATTAAAGGTTTGCCACCACATCTTCAAGGGTTACTATCTAAAAGAACATAACATAGTCCCTGCTTTCACAATACAGCTGAAGGAAAGAAGTGTGAAGAGTAAGGGTAAGGTACATTTCCTTTCAATTGTCCTAATCTGGAAAAGATGTCTTCTTTCTACAATGGTACAATTCAGAAATAAACACATTTCCAGTATAGGATAAACTGAGAGAATGAATCACATAAGAAAGAAGCATCCTTAAGGCGGCTACACTGCTTCCTGTAAATGGATTTTTAAAATATACTGTGTTCCTCAACCCCCAACATGGCTCATTTCCAGAAAATCCCTGTGAAATGACTAAATGAGACTCAATGAATAAAAGCATTAGAACAACTTGGACAACCCGGGCTATGTTCTTGCCGCCTATTGTTTTGTTATTGTTATTTTTAAAGCTAATTGTATTGTTTTAATCTGCTTCTGTAAACCGCTCCGAGCCAAATTGGGAGTAGCGGTATACAAGTTAAATAAATAAATAAATAAATAAATAAATAATAACTTACATGAAGTGGAAAACTGGTGCTCTTCTGAAGTACTTTTTTGCTTCCTCACCAAGTTTATACCAAGCATTGTTAGGTAAAAATCCACTAGTATTCTGGTCCCCATCACTATCACTGTCTTCCCGTTCCAGGCGATTAATGCCCATATAGGTTAGCTGTAGAGAGAACAAACTGTGCTCTCAGAGTCCATTCGCAGCAAAAAAATAATGTCACCATGAAATAAGAATACACTTTCTACGAAAATTACATGAAAGATGTTAGATACATACTATTGTGAAATATCTGTCTTATTATAGAGAATAGATCTATGAAGGAAAAGGTCGGAATGTACTCCCCACAGATAACTGAGTCTTATTGTAATTACGGCAAACTTACTAAATCTTCAGCAAATGCAATTGAATCAAATTCTGCCATATCCGAATGCAGCTGGTTTGCTTTTTCCTTTCCTAGATTTGTTGCCAATACAAGGAACTGAGCATCCAAAGCTGCCTCCCTTGGATCAGACACTGTCATAGAGGGAAAAAGATGGTTTGCTAGCATTAATAGCAACCAAAAGACAAGAATGATTAAACTAATATCACCATCTAGTTTTTGAAGTGTTTCTTGCTCTCAGGAACCACCCAGCAGTTTATACTCTGAATAGCAAATTAATCTGATTTAATATGGTATTATTTTATTAATACATCATACATATATACTATAATATGTATACACACACACACACATATACATACATGTCAGAGCCCAGTTTCCAGGGCCTGGATTCTGGCACCAGAAATCAGGGCCCCTGATGTAGAACCCTGATAAGACACCTGCGGTGGTTGACCCTGAGAGGGAACGGTTAGCAGTTTTGGCGGGTGAATTACGCAAGGTTTTGTCTTGGTGGGAGTTACATTATATAAGGGAGTGCCAGCCGGCACCAGGCACTCTCGGCTTTTTGCATGTCTATGTTTCCTGTAGTAAAGTTCTCAGTGATACCAGAGCATTGTCCTGTGTCTTCATTTGGGAGCAGCTACTGTGAGCTGACACATACACACTGTATAATGGAATGGGAAATTGTGGAAGGCATGGGGGTTGCATTAACCTATTGGATCCTCACTGCACTAATTTCTGCAAAATACCAAAACATTTGCTTCCACTGTCATGTTCTCTAGGAGATGGAGGAATCCTCATCAAGTTTTGGCATTATTATACAATAAAAAATGACATGCTGCAATGGATGATGGCAAATTGAGTTCTGACATCCTGCTATTTTACAGGTCAAAGTTATTGGCCAAAAAGCTGTCTGAGTCTGTGGAATCACTCCAGAGTCGTCCTGTTTGCTAGTACAACTAAATCACATAAGGATCAGTGATATCTCTATCAAAAGGGCATACATGAATAGAGAATGAGAAAGATGTTACAACTGTGTTTCAGAAAATAGAAGCTGAGTTTTAAATGTCTCTTCCCCTGAAAATGCAAAGAACGGAAGGGAGAAAACTTTCGCCTATTTTGTCCAAGTCGCTAAGTTTATACTTCTGAGGAATGCATAATGTTACTGTCAGTATCCAACATGCTATATTAAGTACAGATCAGGTTCTTCTTACCTCCAGGAAACAGTTTATCAGCATCTTCCAAAGCCTCAGTCAATTTATCACCTCTGTTGCTCAACATCAAACCACGATTCTCTATGAAGAGTTAACATGTACTTTTAAAAAAATCCTCAAAAACAGGAAACTCCATTTTTAAAGCATACTGAATGCAAGACAATCATAGACCTCAATTATACATTAAAAACTACCAAGTTCCAGGCAAAACTATTTTAATGTAGCATTACAGCATCCATATTTAAGACAGACTGATGTCATGTGTGCTAATATTTTCTTCAATTAGAGATGAAGCCCTTTAAGTAATCCTGAATAGAAATGATGATTAATCAGAAGGTGATAACAACATTAAGAAGTGTATAGCTATCTTTTTACAGAAGAACTGTATCTCCAAGAAGAAGAAAATGAAAACAAATAAGGAACAATGCATCAGGGAGACACTTATGTAAACAAAGGTAAAATGACAGCTGAAATTCATGCATTTTTTAAATTTTTGCTAAATAAAAATAGAAAACTGAGAGCATAAGAAGCAAAGCAAGTAGAAAATGCTGTTATTGAATTCATGATGTTTATTCTAGGGAACAAAAATACACATAGTAAAATGACAAGTAAAGAAAATCTTATAAGTATCATTATACAATTTATGGTGCCACAATAAGCAAGGAGTAATACCCCGGTGGCGCAATGGGTTAAACCACTGAGCTTGTTGACTGAAAGGTCGCAGGTTCGATTCTGGGGAGTGGCATGCGCTTCCACTGTTAGCCCTAGCTTCTGTCAACCTAGCAGTTCGAAAACATGCAAATGTGAGTAGATCAATAGGTACCACTCCAGCGGGAAGGTAACGGTGCTACATGCAGTCATGCCGGCCACATGACCTTGGAGGTGTCTATGGACAATGCCGGCTCTTCGGATTAGAAATGGAGATGAGCACCACACCCCTGTCAGACATGACTGGACTTAATGTCAGGGGACAACCTTTACCTTTACCCTAATACCAAGTAGCCAGAATGAACTGAAAGGAAAGCAAATTGGAGCTGAAGGTGCAGAAAAAGCATGGGAAACACAATTGTGGACACAATTCAAAGTGCTGGCTTTAGCCTATAAAGCCCTAAACGGTTCCGGCCCAACTTACCTATCTGAACGTGTCTCCCCTTATGAACCTTCCAGGAATTTAAGATCATCTGGGGAGGCCCTGCTCTCAATCCCGCCTGCCTCACAGGCGCTCGCTTGGCGAAGACAAGAGACAGGCTTTCTCAATGGTGGCCTCTTGCTGTGGAACTCCCTTCCTGGGGATATTAGATCAGCTCCCTCCCTCCTGATCTTTAGGAAAAGAGTAAAAACCTGACTCTTCGAGCAAGCTTTTGGAACCTCATTGTAACCAGACAAACTCAGTATTGCGAACGAATATGGACATGGATTTTAACCTGGAAGTCATTGATTTTTATAGTTTTAAATTATTTTTATATGAATTTCATTATGTGATTTAACCTGTTTTAAATGATGTACTTATGTGTGTTTGGCATCTAATTGTTGCCAGTCTGTGTGCTGCCCTGAGTTGCCTTCGGGTTGAAAAGGGTGGGATAAAAGTGTGGTAAGTATTTATTTATTTATGACATCTATATGCCGCCTTTCTCACCCCGAAGCGGACTCAGAGCAGCTTACAAGATATATATATATATATATATATATATATATATATATATATATACACACACACACACACACACACACACACACACACACATACATACATACAATAAGATTATATTGATTATAAGAATATTGATTATAAGAATATAATAAGATTATATTCCTAAAGATTATATTATTAACATAGTACAATATCAGTATTATATATTACTATATTGTACTATACCATTATATTGTAATATAATAGATGCATCCTAGGAGAGAGAGAAACCGGAATAGCAACCCTTTCAGACTAATTACAGTTGGCCTTCCATATCCACATCCTGGGATCCAACCATCCGGATTGAATTTTTTATAAGAATCTCAAAAGCAAAGATTGATTTTAATCATTTTACTACACCATTGTATATAATGGGCCTTTAGCATCCAAATTTGGGAATCTGAAGGGGATTCTGGAGCCTAGTGCCCTGAAAAAGAAAGCCATGGAAGATGCTCAGGTTTTCTACGGAAGGTTCTCTTCTGACGTTGACAACGTATGATGGCTTTAACTGCCATGCCCTAACGCTGTGGAATCCTAGAAGCCGTAGTTTTATACGGTCTTTAGCCTCGTACTGTTAATGTACTGTTACAAGGCCATTTTATTTCATCATTTTGATGCTGAAAAGAAGTTGCAGCAAATGATGGTTTCTTTTACTTTTGCCATTTTATATAAAGGGCACTATTTTACTCTGTTATATATACTAGCCATCCCCTGCAACGCGTTGCTGTGGCCCACATGGGGGTTCTGTGTGGGAGGTTTGGCCCAATTCTATTGTTGCTCTGTGATTGTAGGTGAACTATAAATCCCAGCAACTACAACTCCCAAATGTCAAGATCCCATTTTCCCCAAATACCACCAGTGTTCACATTTGGGCATATTGAGTATTCTTGTAGAGTTTGGTCCAGATCCATCATTGTTTGAGTCCACAGTGATCTCTGGATGTAGGTGAACAACAACTCCAAAAACAAAGGACACTGCCCACCAAACTCTTCCAGCAATTTCTGTTGGTCATGGGAGAACTGTGTGACAAGTCTGCTTCAAATCCATCGTTGGTGGGGTTCAGAATATTCTTTGATTGTAGGTAAACTATAATTCCCAGTACAACTCCCAAATGACAAAATCAATTTTTTGAGTGAAGGACATACAACGGGTTGTTAGGTCCCTTGTGTCCAAATTTGGTGTCAATTCTTCCAGTGTTTTTTGAGTTCTGTTAATCCCACAAACGAACATGGCCGAGTAGGATAGTCTTCAAGGATCAGTATTCTGGTGGGTGACTGTGGAGCCCTATTCTTGATCTGCATCTTCTCCCACAGTGAGGGCATTGGTTTCCAGGTGGAAGGCGGTCTCGATCGGGGTTGGCTTGAGGTGCCTTCCTTTTGGCACGTTTCTCTCTTTCACCTTCCATTCGTGCCTCTTCAAATTCTGCAGCACTGCTGGTCATAGCTGATCTCCAGCTGGAGCGCTCAAGGGCTAGGGCTTCCCAGTTCTCAGTGTCTATGCCAGAGTATTTAAGGTTGGCTTTGAGCCCATCTTTAATTTTATTTTTTCCTGCCCACCAACATTCCGTTTTCCATTCTTGAGTTCAGAGTAGAGCAACTGCTTTGGGAGACGGTGGTTGGGCATCCGGACAACGTGGCCGGTCCAGCAGAGTTGATGGCGGAGGACCATCGCTTCAATTATGGTGGTCTTTGCTTCTCCCAGCATGCTGATGTTTGTCCGCCTGTCTTCTCAGATTTGCAGGATTTTCCAGAAGCAGTGCTGATGGAATTGCTGCAGGAGTTGCATGTGACATCTGTAGAAAGTCCACATTTTGCAGGCATATAGCAGGGTTGGGAGGACAATAGCTTTATAAACAAGCACCTTGGTATCCCTACGGATGTCCCGGTCCTCAAACACTCTCTGCTTCATTCGGAAAAATGCTGTGCTCGCAGAGTCCCCATTGGGGAGATGGTGGCGGGATATAAATAAAGATTATTATTATTACTATTCCAAGGAGTAATATAATACAGACTTGGAATGAATGCAGTTTGACACTTACATTTTCCAGGCTCAGTGCTATGGAATCAAATGGCTTTGTAGTTTGATGAGGCCCCAGCCTTCTTGGACAGAGAAAGCTAAAGGTCTTGCGAAACTACAACTCCCAAGATCCCATAGCATTAGGCCATGGCAGTCAAACCACATGCATCCCACAGTGCAGATGCGTGAAAGGTAGGGAAAGCCACACTTACCTTGACAGTTGGCAATCAGCTGCCGGTATTGCTGGCGGAGCAGCCGCCGCGTCGTCTCGTCCGTCTCCTGCCCGATGCAACTCCTCCTTTCCTTCTCCGCCCCGCTCTTCTTCCTTGGGCTGCCCTTCTTCTCCATCTCCTCGACAGGCCGGTCCTTCCCTTCAGCCATGGCTGCTCTCCCGCCTCGCTCGGTTATTTAACCTGCGACTTCCGGCGAGGCGGAACCTTAGAGAAAGGGGCCCGAGAGCCAAGCGGACGTTTGATGCCACGGAATGAATAGGATCCAATAGCACTTCCGGCTAAAGTGAAACTAGCGGCTGGATGGACGTCGCTCTAGGAGTAGTAACTCTATGGTCAAAACTTAGCCTATCTGTTGTCTATTGGCGCCTCTTCATTGGCTGCAAGAAAACAAACAAAAACAAAGGCTTGCCATCCCGTTGGAGTTGAAAGGAATAGAATTGTGTCACTACAGCAAAAACAATAGAAGACATAATCTCTCCCTATAAAAGTCAAAATATGGAATATTTCTATGTTTACATGTTTGTTTGTATATTTGAACCACAAAGGCTCTCTTAAAGCTTGGTGGATCTGGACCAAACTTGGCACACAGACCTATCCTGGCCAATTTAAAATACTGGTGGGATTTTGGGGAGGGGAGAAATTGACAGGATGATGGGAATTGTAGTCCAGCCACATCTGGAGCAATGTAGGACTCCCATCAATAGTGGATCTGGATCAAACTTGGCACTCATTACTATCATTACCAGTTTAAATTACTGGGGGTTTGACAGGATGATGGGAGTTGTAGTCTAGCCACATGCAGAAGCTGTGTAAATCCTACTAATAATGGATCTGGATCAAACTCAGCACACATAACCATTATGACGAGCTTAAACTACTGGCAGGGTTTAGCGGTGAATGACAGAGGATGATGGGAGTTGTAGTCCAGACACACATCTGGAGGACTGTGTGAATCTCAGTAATGATTGGTCTGGATCAAACTTGGCACACATAACCATTATGATCTGATAAACTACCAACATGCTTTAGGGATCAATGACGGGGTGATGGGAGTTGTAGTCCAGCCACATCTGGAGGGCTGTATGAATCTCACTAATAATGGATCTGGATCAAACTTGGCACACATAACCATTATGTCAAGCTTAAACTGCCAGCATGATTTGGTGGGGGGGGGGGGTGAATGGCAGAGGATGATGGGAGTTGTAGTCCAGCCACATCTGAAGGGCTATCTGAAGCATACTAATGATGGATCTGGATCAATCTTGGTATGCATAACCATTATGACCAGCTTAAACCACCAATATGGTTTAGGGATCAATGATGGGATAATGGGAGTTGTAGTCTAGCCACATCTGGAGGGCTATGTGAATCATACTAATGGTGGATCTGCGCCAAACTGGGCATGCATAACCATTATGAACAGCTTAAACTACCAATTTTTTTTAGGGATCAATGACAGGGATGATGGGAGGTATAGTCCATCCAGATTCCAATGAGTCATGTCAATCCACCAACAATGGATCCAGTTCAGACTTGACACACATACCCTTCATGACCAACTTAAAATACTGGCAGGGCTTCAGGCAGACTTGACAGAGCATGATGGGAGTTGTAATCCATTCACATCCAGAGAGCCATGTCATTTCCACCGACAATGGAGCTGGACCAAACTTGGCACACATACACATCATAACCCAACTTAAAACACTTGTGCTCTTAGAGGCCGTGGTAGATGGGAGTTGCAGTCCACCCACGCATGGACAGCTGCATTACTCCCAATCAAGAACAAAGCCGCAGTTCTCCTTCAAACCAGTCGGATGGGTGTTGAAGCCCAAGAAGAAGGCTGAAGCCCGGGCAAACCTGGGGCTGATGGAAGTTGCAGCCAGCCAGAACCAAATGCAAAAGGGCAGTAGAACTACTAGAGCAGGCATGGGCAAACTTTGGTCCTCCAGGTGTTTTGCATTTCAACTCCCACAATTCCTAACAGCCAGTACTTCCAAGTCCTTTCTTATGGCAACCCTCATAGTGATACTAGTCTAACGTTCAAAACATTACGCCAAGCTGGCAATGTGAATAAATGATATTCTATTAGTTATAATGCTTGGGTAACAAGATGTATAAGAGAACAATATAGCTGCACAGACGTCCCTCCACACTTGTGGAGGAAAATTTGTTTTGCTAATTCTTGAAAGCTATTTATTGTTCGGAGACATCGATCAAAACTGACAATTGTAAACACATTACATGGGAAGAAAGCCCCGTTGAAAATTAGGCATTACTATTGTTGTGGTTTGTTTCCCCTTTCTCTTACAAAAAGGCAAACTACAAAAGGTGGGTTATAAAATTAGCAGAGATTAGGATAAAAGGACATACTGTATTCAATATAACTTGAAGTTGATTTAAAAGCAGTTAAAAAGAATGGTTCTAGCTTTATGTATCCAGCAGAGGGAGATGGTGAACACCCTTAATTAAGCCACCAGGATCATTTACATAAAAGAATCAAGATACAATGAGCCTCAAAGAAAATACATTTGTGATTTTTGTTTTTGAATTAAGGGTGCATATACACTGTAGAATTAATTCAGTTTGACACCACTTTATAACTGCCATGGCTCAAGGCAATGGAATCATGATAGTTGTAGTTTTACAGGTTTTTAGCCTTCTCGGTCAAAATGTTATGGTGCCCCACCAAACTACAGATCCCAAGCTTCCATAGCATTGAGCCACGGTAGTTAAAGTGGTTTCAAAATTCTACAGTGTAGATGCATCCAAGGAGTATGTAAGCTGATAATTCCTCCCCATTCTGTATTCTGTTGGTTAAAATCTGTTCCTTGTAGCATCGATTTTGACATAAGGAATAGCTGTCAGGGAAAAGTCGAAAAGTTAATTATCTTTTTCCCACATAGCTTCTTGGGGAAGTGATTTTATTTTTTAAAAAATAATTGGGATGGACTCATTAGCACATATACAGCATAATCATTCCATCGACCACATGAAGAAACATCCTGGCCTGAAACTGATTGGTTAGTTCCAATGAGAGCAGACCCATTGAATCAATTGTTGAATGGTAAAACAGCGCTTACATAAATCCCATACTCTCTTCAAGACCACCCATAGGGTAGATAAAAGGACATACTGTGTTCTATATAACTTGTAAATTTGTGCCAAAGGTAAAGGTTTTCCTTGACATTAAGTCTAGTCATGTCTGACTCTGAGGGTGGTGCTCATCTTCAGTTCTCAGCCAAAGAGTCGGCATTGTCCATGGACACCTCCAAGGTCATGTGGCCAGCATAACTGCATGGAGCCATTACCTTTCCCAGAAGTTGTACCTATTGATCTAGTCACATTTGCATGTTTTCGAACAGCTGGGTGGGCAGAAGCTGGGGCTAACAGCAGGAGTTCACCCCACTCCCCGGATATGAACTATCAACCTTTAGGTCAGCAAGTTCAGCAGCTCAGTGGTTTAACCTGCTGAGCCACCATGGGGCCCAAAGGAAGCGTCCAGAGACCTTTTACTGCTGCAAAATGTTTCGTGACTCTATTTGGGGCTAGAACCACAGTTCAAGAAGCGGTGTTCTAGATCACTAATAAAGATACAGGAGATTTTTTTAGTTTTCAACTTTGAAACCCTAGCAGTGAACTGCTAGGGGTTGCTACTGTGTGTATCTAAGAGAAAAGTGGGATTATTTATTATGCATAGAGTCTTGTTGATTCTCGAGCAATGCCTTTTCTGGGAAAAGGACAAGCTTTTTAAATACTAGTAAACATTTATGATTTCCTAATTCTTCAATGGAAAGTATGGGGTAAGAGAAAGTTAGATTTTTTAACCGTATACATAGTGGTCAGATGACACTAAATTATGAAGGCTAGTTAATACTCCAGAGGACATGATCATAATTCAAAACAACTTTGAAAAGTTAGAGAGCTGGGGGAAAACATAATAAAATGAATTTCAATAGAGAGAAATGTAGGGTGCTACACTCAGGCAGGAAAAATGAAATGCAGAGATATAACATGGGTGACACCTGGCTTGAAAACAGTATATGTGAAAAGGATCTGGGAGCCTTCGTAGACCACAAGCTACTAAATCATTTGGTGGGATGCAGCATCTAAAAAAAGCCAATGTGATTTTAGAATGCACCAATAGGAGTGTGGTGTCTAAATCAGTAGTTCCCAAGCAATGGGCTACAGATCACTGGTGGGCTGCGAGATATAAAATAAATACGGTTTTCTGTGGGCGAGCAGATGACTACTGGATGGCATATGTTCTGTGTCAGAAACTAGAGCTGATGTGGTCTAAACAATATAATTTTCTGAATCAGCACCCAAAATCACCAAACCAAATCTAAAGTTGACCAAAAACTGATTCATACCCCCTTTGGTACTAATTTGGAGAGTGGTCCCTGATCAAAGTGGTCCCTGGTCAAGTGTTCCCAGGTCAAAAAAAGTTGGGAACCACTGGTCTAGACTGAGGTAAGTAATAGTATCAATCTGCTTTGTTCAGACTATATTTGGAATACTTTGTCCAGCTCTGGGCACCACAGTTTAAGAAGGATATTGACAAGCTGGAAAGTGTCCAGTCAGGGAAGGGTAACCTGTATGATAAAAGGTTTGGAAGCCAAGTCCTACAAGGAATGGCTTAAGTAGACTTTTTTTAGCTTGGAGAAAAGAAGGCTGAGAGGAGACATGATAACCATATTTAAATATAGGAAAGGAGGTCATATTGAGGAGGGGACAAACTTGTTTTCTGTACCTTCAAACTACAGTAAAAGAGTGTACTATAACGTTAAAGGGGCAGGAATTGCTGACAGTGCTTTCAACAGTTGGATATGCTGCATCAAAGTGTGGAAAACTCCTTCTCTGGAGGTTTTTAAACTGAGGGTGGATGGCCATCTGTCGGGAATGCTTTGATTGTGTGTTTCTGCATGATAGGGGATGGACTGGATGTTTCTTATGGTCTCTTCCAACTCTGATTCTAGTCCTGAGCATGATATCAGCTTTAAGGTTTTTTCTGATCCTGGTCTAAACTCTTACCTACTGTGACAGCAGAGAGGTGCTGTGCCTTACTTATAAGTATGTGTGGAGCCAGGCATAGATAGTAAATATTCCATTCCCTACTAACCAATCAAGCAATAAAACATTTGGCACCCAGTTCGCTGCACCTGGGAAGGTGTGTTCATGGGTATTACATTTCCTTTTATACTGTTTTCCCAACCAGTAACTGAGAGTTCCTGTAGAGAAGTGACGTGCAGCATAGAGCTCCCAGGGTCAGATTCCTTACACTTCGCTGCTATCCAGCATAGTGTTCTCAAACCTAAGCCAATTCACATTAATAGAACACTTTCATGTGATCCAGTGGGAAGGGGATCCCAACATAGAGAAGGAGTAAACGGCAACAAAGGACACTGTAAGATCAGGGGAAGAAGAGTTATATATTTTATAGAGAGATTATATTTGTGGAAGGCTAGGTAAGTAAATCCATACTCACACTTTTATCAATCCTCTTGACAGCAGGAAGCTTAGAAGTCTTTTGATAGAAGTGCTCTCTCTTTATTCAGTGCTATGACACGGTTTGCTTGGGGTTATACAAGAAGGATGTGTGTTTTCATTTTCTTTACTTACTGGTGCATTCATTTTGTTTCCCGTAATATGATTTCCTGCTGCTTTCACAAAACTAGTAGTGAGACATTTTCTCTCTCTTATAGAATCATGCTTGGTAGAGGTAATACTAAATTAAGATGTGAAAAAGAATGTAATTTGTGATGCATTACATCTTTGCTCTCTTTATGATGCCAGAATTTTCAAAATCCAGTTTTGTTAGCTTTGAAGTGGTATGGACAAATTATTTACATCATTTATAGTAGGTTACAGCTGCTTGAAACATAAATGTTTACCACTGCAGTGCCATGTGCTTTCAGTCACTTAAACCTTATGCTGTGCCAATATGTAATAGCCTTTATCATCTTGGGTATTACAACAACATGACATATTATCATAATCTTCATAAGAGTTTCACCTAAATACATTATGGGGCACAATGTAAGCCTCTCTTATTTGTCTCCAATCCAATAAATGTTAACTGAAGGGTGTTTTTGTCACACCTATTCAATTGCTAGATATGTGCTCACCCTTTGAAATGTATTTACTTATCTTCCTATTTAATTAAAAATAATTTATAGAACAGACTGACTGAACGATTTGGTTAATTTAATCAGTATGCAAAGAAATACTTAATTCACTGTTATGTGAACTTTTTTATTTTATATTACATTCATATTTCACTCCTTCATGGAGGTCAAGTCAGTATTGTTTTTGTTTTTTTCGTGTTAGGAGCAACTTGAGAAACCAAGTAATTTCTGGTGTGAGAGAATTGGTTGTCTSCAAGGATATTGGCCAGAGGTTTCCTGGATGTTTTACCATCCTGTGCAGGCCCGTAGCCAGGATTTTTATTTGGGGGGGGGGGCTGAGTTTGATTCGTGCGGGGGGGGGGGCTACCCTAGCAAAGGATATACCCTAGCAAACCTTTTGTATCGTTATCCCAATAACCTCATGCATATGGAATATATTGAGCATCCCTATATTTCCGTCTCTTCCCCACGATCCCCCTCCCCCCAAATTTCTCCCCCTGCTCCCTTTTTWATGTAAAGTATAAAAAWTTTCAATAAAAACTATTTGAAAAATGATATGAATAAATGTAACAGTTTAAATAATGTACCAATAAGGCCTTCTCATGGACCACCTGGAGAATTGGGGGGGGGTCTGAAGCCCGTCAAGCCCCCCCACCCTGGCTACATGCCTGTGTGGGGAGGCTTCACTTATGTCCCCGCATGAGAAGCTGGAACTGACAGACAGGGACTCATACCACTCCCCTGATTCGAACCACCGACCTTTCAGTCAGCAGACCTACCGGCATAAGAGACCTATCACACTACACTGTTATAACACTATTTATCCACTTTAACTGCCATGGAAACATCTGTGGAAACATTTCTCCTCGCAACAGCCCTCTGACGTGTTCAGGTTCATATGTCTGTCTACCATTTGATCTGGTTTAATTGGGGAAAACTGAAGCAAAAATATATTTCAGTTACTTTTCAACAAAAAGCCAAAGCTACTTCTACAATTTGTTCCTATAATAGAAATGAACTCTTACACTGAAACTGCGAAAGAACATTTTTTCTTTCCTTTTTGGAATCAGCACATTGAGCTGTTTCACTTTGAAACAACTGTATTAGGAATCATGGCATATTTACAAGTGCCTCGCTCAGCAGGTCTGAAACATCACACAAACACATTCTTCGACTAATTAAATTTTTCATAATGTGCAAGTTTGGACTCGACAAGCACAGCTCTGAGCTCAGGCTTTGAACAAGTACAATTAAGCTAGAAGCTAACGTTTCAGGCTTGTCTTCTCAGCAAGATTTGACCACCCTTGGTCAGGAGCTTGGTAAACCAGATGAAAGCCGCATGCATGTTATTGTTCTTGCAGTTATATGGAATAGGTTGATATATGGGAAGACACATAGGAAAACCCACACTGTTCTGCTCATGTTCACCCTATTGGTGAATGAGTTATTGTGTTTAAAATCTGTTATAAACTATTTTGAGACTTGAACTGGGAAAAGGCATATTAATTGGATGCTTATAGATGTCAACTTAGGCCTTATCAACATTGATCATCTAATGCATTTCAAAGTTAGCTTCAAATTACAGTGGCCAGACAACAAATTCCCACAAAAATGAGTGAAAGAAAGCCCTTAATAGGCACCAGTGCTCTGTGGTTTGTGTCAGCAGCATCTGGATCTCAAGCTGGTTCCAGGATTTCTTATGAAATCATCTCCACAGTAACTCCACTTTCTTCAATACTGTTGAAACTGCAATAAATGGTCAGTGTAGATGGTGCCTTCAACTGACCGTGTAGTTCAGTGGTTCTCAACCTGTGGGTCCCCAGGTGTTTTGACCTACAACTCCCAGAAATCCCAGCCAGTTTACCAGCTCTTAGGATTTCTGGGAGTTGAAGGCTAAAACATCTGGGGACCCAAAGGTTGAGAACCACTGGTGTAGATAAATGATATTTGTTTCCCAACTGCAGTTGATAATGTAGTCATAAACACCTTCATTGCATTGTGGGTGAAAAAAAGGGAAACATGACTATTTTATGTAACATGAAGTACACAGTGGAGAAAAACTAGGACGTTAAATATCTGTGGAAGTGAAGTAGTTGGTCCAGATGTTTTGAGTTATCATCTTATGCAAGGCAAACATTAGAGAAAAGGGAGAAATGTATTGGAAAAAGCTGCCTGTAAGACATCCAACAATTTTACCACTCACTGTTTCCAAGTCCGTCCAAACTCTGAGTTGATGACTGCATTTAGCCAATCCTTTTATGATAACAGTTGCTTTTGATCCACAAATCTGTAGTCAAAATGCACCATGAAGTTGCAGTTTATTGAACTGGTTGCTTTGGTTATCGTTTGCTTTGAGTGTTTATCATAAATTTGAATCTTTCAATGCAGTGCTAGTATTTTTTGTTTGTTAAAAGAGAAAGTGACTTTCCAGCCTAGGAGATAGTTTATATTCTATTCAGACTAGCTTCCAAATGTGCTAATCTTTCTTTACAATGTTATAATTATAAGATTTCAATGCAACAGCCTTGTAACCACAGCAATGTGCAACATTGCTGTTGATGCAACCATAAAACTCGCAACTTCACAACATTGCTTTAGACTCCTAAAGAAATCACAAAAGCAACACAATATTGCGGTTTCTGTGCTTAGGCTCTTCTGGTTTGTATCACACTTGAGTCAGCCCATATCTGTAAAACAGGGATAGAAATAAAGTAGCCCTCCAAATTGGATTGGATTGCAAGTTCCAGCATTCCTCATCATTGACTGTACTGGCTAGGGCTTTGGGGTTTGTAGGCCAACAACATCTGGAGGACTACATGCTTTGAAAGCATTTAGAAAGTGCTATAAAATGCATGTCATCGAATGCTGGATTGTGGATGGTTTTTCCCAGATACGCAAAAACACTGCAGTGTAGCAGATGTCACTGTGGAGGTCCTGCCATCATTTCTGTTTGTAAAACTGACATGAAAGGATACATATGAGCATGCTATGCCTAGCTCATGTAGAATTTGGAGATGCAGGGGCACTAATTCACAATTGCATTAGTATATTTTCTTATTTAGCACCTCTAGGAAGACGGAAAGATCTACAAATCCCATTCCTTTTAGGTTATCTTTAGAAAGAACATTGTCTTTCTATAGCAGTTTATTTCTTCCAGGCAAAGGCCTAACTCTTATTGTGAGACTTGTCTAGAGTAGACCACTGAATCAGGATGAATTATATACATATTGACTTACCATTCAACAGTTGAAATCAACGAACCTCTGCTATGTATTGTTGAAGGCTTTCATGACCAGAATCAATGGATAGTTGTAGGTTTTCGGGCTCTATGGCCATGTTTTACAAGTATTCTCTCCTGACGTTTCGTCTGCATCTATGGCAGGTATCACAGACCTCACACCTGGTCTGACCTCACAACCTCTGAGGATGCCTGCCATAGATGTAATATAATTTTTGTGGTTTTTGGGGGTTTTTTTGCTTTTTAAGTCTCTTTTGCTGTGTTTTTCATTGTTCTTATGAGTGATGGTCACTCGTTGGCCTGATAGGTGTATTGTGTCCAAATTTGTGTCAATTTGCCCAGTGGTTTTTGAGTTATGTTAATCCCACAAACGAACATTACATTTTTATTTATATAGATGTACAGTTCATTTAATCCCTGGCCTGTTGTGATCTGCACCCGAGAGCAATGTAGAAGTAAAAGGATCTCAGTTTTGGGGCATACAAGGCTGATAGGATGGGGGCTATGTCAACCCAAGAACCTTTCATAGCTGTGTAGAAGTAACATCACCAGGTAGAAAGCTACACTTACTGAAATTTCATCTTTTAAACAACTATTAAAGGTAGAGGATTTGTCTTTCTTTTCATGTAGCCATCCCACTGTCTGAATACTTTGGCTCTCCCCCAGAACCCTTAGGGCAAGATATCTTTGCATGTTTTTCCTGACGTTGTAATGAACTCACTTCCTTTCTGTAAGTAGCAACTCAATGCTGAAGCCCCTAGGCTTCATCCAAGGTTACACAGACCAGCCTCAACTCCGCCAACAGTTACACGCGTCCGAGTCTCATTTGCAAATTGGGGTTCCATGTGTGTGGATATTTTTAGGATTGGAGACGATGAGTCTGGCCAACCTTTGGCTTCTCTCCAGATCCATCAGTGAGGGTTGAGGATAGGGTTTCTGTATTTTCAGAGGAGTCCAATACAGAAGTGGGACAGGGGATTTAGGGGACTCTCTGGGCACTAACTTACAGGCAAGTGTAGCAGACAAAAATTAGCATTTGTTCTGGGGTTACATTAGCAACAATCTCTTCCTGAAACAGATACCCAGACTTGATAAGGCCGTT